AGGTTCACTAAATGTTTTTCTCCTAGATCTTACTACCATTTGTTTTTTCTTTTTTCACTGGAGAAAGCAGAGTGCATACTGTCCACTTCTGGCTCCGGTATGTCACGAGACATACAGCACAGGTGAAAAATTTATTGGACACTTGCTAGCTAGAGGCTCATGTGAGTTGGGGGAATTCCAGGGCTAATACTGTAGTGAAAAGCCCACTGTCCAGCATCACTGCTGAGATGGCTGATGACACTGGGATTTCTATCCCTAGAGTCTGATTCATAGACTCCAAAGCCAGAAGGAACTAGGGATGTAAAATATTAACTGGTTAATTGGTAAGCATTAGTTTTACCATTAACCCACCCTAACTGTTAATCCCCAGCCCATGGCCGGAGCAGCTGCGCCAGCCGGCCGACCCCTGCCCCAGCTAGAGCGCCCCACCTGCTCCGGCTGACCGGACGGAACGGCCCCGGGCTGGCCAGAGTGGCGCCAGTCCCTCTCCCTTTAATCGGTTAAACAATATAATTTTAATCCGTTAACCGGTTAAATTTTTAAACGACATCTACATCCCTAGAAGGGACCATTGTGATCATCTAATCTCACCTCCTGTATAGTACAGGCCATAAAACTTCCTCAGAATAATTCCTAGAGCATATCTTTTTGAAAAACAAGATTGGGGCCTCCGTTTTCAGAATCAATTTCTGGATAGTTGATGTGCGCCAGATGTGAAGATGACCCAGCCTCCAGCTGCTGCGAGAGTGGAGCATTCTTTTCCACCAAGTGTTTGATGCTCTACCTTTCCTTCAGCCTCCTTTTTTGGTGGTGTCATGTTCTCCTTCAAACAATTCTGGTATCTGCCTCTTCTGCTTGGGAAAACTGTAGCAGTAGCAAAAGGAATAAGGTATGATTTCACTTCTGCCTACAAAGTTCTGAATAACAACTGCAAATCTCATGAGTCTTAACTCTGAGCTGCTGCTGATGATTGGAAAAGCAATATACAGCAGTCTCAAACACTAGAACAGTCTGTAGATAAACAAAGACAGCATTACATTTGTTTGTTTGGAGGATTATTTCACATCCTTAAGGGCTAGCTATTGAAATGAAAACTTACATGTTGAAGTAGGTAGTGGCTTAGTATCCATGTTTATGAGAGCTTCCTGCTGGCTAGTAGACTTCTTTTAATCCTTGACAGATCACTTACTATGTTAGTGCCCAGAGGTCCCGAATGAGATCAAGGCTCCTTGTGTATGTACATACATAGTAGGTAAGACACTCTGCCTTGAATAGTTTACTATCTAAATAAGCAAGGCAGACAGCATAGGCAAAAGGAACTATTACCCCAATTTTCAATCGGTAAAATGAGTTGACCAAGATCACACAGGAAATCTGTGGCAGAGTTGGGCGTTGAACCCAGATCTCCTGAGTCACGGTTCAGTGCCTTAACCACATGACCATCCTTCCTCTTCCTCTGTTTTTTAATTAGGGCATTGTAGGTGAATTTCCTTGTCCAGTTTGATATAAATATATATTTGTGAGAAGGTTAAGGTTGCAAAGACAAGCACACAAGTTAGGCAGTGCCAATATAAGGTTTGTCTGTGCAACTTGAATTTGGCCCCCTTATGTATATGCTTTGATAACCTTTGATTACATAATCGTATACTGTCCCCTCCTCTCTCCCTTCCTCGCACCCAGTGCCCCTGCCTTGTTCATTGGATGGGTAGTTATGCAGTATTTCTTTTATCGTCCACATTCAATGTAATATGAGCGTGACATAATTAACGCCAATTAACATGGCATTCATGATATTGCAGACAAAATAGATCTTGTCAAAGTAACTTGATATCTTGATTTGAAGAGATGACAAGTTTGTTTGTTTTTTGTATTCTTGTGCTTAGGAGCCCTAGTCACAGACCCCATTGTGATAGGCACTCTACAAACACATGTAACAGACTTCTGTAAGGTATTGGACTTGGCACCATGTGATCTTTTGATTGAGGAACTAGAGTTATACAAAATGAACATGGTACATGTTAAATACATTAAAAACTGGCTGATAGGTTGGGATTGGTTCTCAGCCTTATGGCATTTAATATTTTTATGAATGACCTGGAAGTAAACATAAAATCATGACCGTTAAAGTTTGAAGATGACCCAAAGATTGAGGGAGCGGTAAATAATGGAGAGGAGATTGAAACAGAGCAATAGAGATCACTTGGTCATCTGGATGTAAGAAAATGATATGTTTCAATATGGTCAAATGTTCAGATCACACATCTTGAAACAAAGGTATCCTGTCAAGCAGTGACTCTGAAAAACATTTGGGAGTTATGATGGATAATCAGCCAAATGTGAACCTCCAGACCAACTCTGGCCAAAAGGGTTAATGTAATTGTAGGATGTATAAACAAGAGAGTATCACGTAGGAGTAGGGAGGGTTTTGTTACTTCTGTATTTGGCTCTGGTGCAACTGCTACTGGAATACTCTGTCCAGTTCTGATGTCTACAGTTCAAGAAGGATGTTAATAAATTGGAGAGGGTTCAGGGAAGAACCACAAGAATGATTAAAAGATGGGAAAATTATGCCTTAGATTAAAGTGAAATATGCAAGGAGCTCAATTTATTTTGTGTTTCTGAGAGAAGGTTAAAGGGTGACTTAACCACGATTTATAAGTACCCTACATGGGGAGCAGAAATTTGATGGTGAAGGGCTCTTCAGTCAACAGACCTAATATAACAAGATCCACCGACTGGAAGAGAGAGCTAGACAAACTTAGGCTAGAATAAAGGAACACATTTTTAACGTAAGGGTAATTAACCACTGGAATAGCTTACCAAGGGTTGTGGTGAATTCTCCATTGTTGGCAATTTTAAAATCAAGATTGGGTGTTATTCCTAAAAGAGATGCTGTCATTCAAACAGGAATTAATTCAAGGAAGTCTTATGGCCTGAGTTATGGAGGAGGTTATAATCTATTAATGTGTGGTCCTAGTCTTCATTTAACAAACCCTGCGCTTAATACAAAATTATCAGTTTCCTTGTGCACATTTCTGTGGTGCTCTCCATAACATCTGTGAACTTCACAAACATTAATATGTCTTCATAACATCCCTATGAGATAAAGGCCAAAATCATCCAGTGTCCATTATTTTTGGGTGCCCAGCTTGAAACCATAGGGCTTTCAGAGTATTCAGCAGTTTTATTGCACTTTACATGTTCAGAGCACAGCTCCAGTTGACTATAGTTGCAATTGTGAGTGCTCACCAAATCTGGTGGCAGAAGTTTTGTTTTGGGCATTCAGAAAATGAGGAACCCACAATTGCAAGACAGCTGTGAATATTTTGACTTACATGGCTTGTCCAGAATCACACAGGAACTCTGTGGCAGAGGCAGGAATAGAATTCAATTCTCTAGAGCGGCTTTAGTATCCTTAACCATTAGAATATCCTTTCTTTTCCTACAGTCCCCTGCCACATTCACTGAGCACCTTCCAACTTCTGCAACAAATGGAGAATATGCCCTACAGGCAACACCCTAATTCACTATGCAACCCTGATTCATTCCCAGAGCACTGTCCGTCCAATCTGTGCACTGAATGAGATAGGGTCCTGGGGTAGAAGTGTAGTATGTGATCACGTAATTAAAAACTAATAATGCATACACACAAAGGAGCTGAATTGTGCAACCTTGATTTTGAGTATTTCCTAATTTTTTGTGCAACCTCCACATTAGAAAAATGTGGATCTTATGTGACTTCCAATTTTTTTAATTTGGTTCCACATGATACAAATTAAATACACACATACAGTGACCGTCAAATTAGGTCAGTAATAGGGTTTGGATCTTTATATCCACAGCACAGTCCTCTACCACTTGAGCTAATGGAGTAACTGGTAGTGGTAATATGCTGTTATCTTTGCTGATAGCAGAAGAATGCAGAGACTGAAAACTCTTGGGTTAAATCCAGGTTTTGTAGGAGAGTGTTACCTAGTGGTTATAGATCCTTCTGTCTATCTTCCCCCCCACCCCCTCGTCTGCTCCTCTCTTCTATCCAGTCCACCTGGCTCTTGCTCCCACCACGCACCCCTACCGCCTTTCTGCCTTCTGATTTGTGCAACACCTCTCCTTATTCCTCACCCCTCTGCATTTTTGGCAGGCAGCTTCCTCCTCCATGCTGCCTGGGTGCCAGCAGAGGGACCGTTGAGAACACAGGCAAGACAGGCTTCCTGCTGTCCGTTCTCTTGGCTGCTGGGAGGAGCAATTTCAAGGAAAGACTGGGGCTGGATAATGCTCAGTGAAGATGGAATCTTCAGAGAATTTAACTGCCACATTCTTAACAAGTCTGTATTGACAATGTGCTAACTGAGATTTTGTAGAGCCTGGGTGAATTTTTACTTGGGCTGCAAAAAGGACATCTCTAACCTCCTTGCCCTCCCACACCCACCCCAAACTTCACACCCTTTCTTCAAAGTATGGAGGTGCTAGAGCTTTTCAGTGAATGGTTGCAATATATTTTTTTTTTTTTAGCATGAGGAAACAACATATTTTCTCCTAATCTCGTTCTCAAACTGCAGAACTGTTTTAGCTAATACTTTCCAGCAAAATTTAGCCTAAGGGAGAGACCAGGCATGGGAATTTTAGCCTGAAGGGTTAAAGTTCGGTGAAGCTATAAGCAACTGAAAGTAGGGTCTTTATAATGGAAGATATCAGACACCTTTAACTATAGGTTATGTTACCAGCTCTGCTTATAATATGTTTGATACTTAGCTGGGAAGTACATTAGAGAAAATCCTGAAAAAAGAATGAGTCTAGCAGAAGCTGCAGTTTTTCTATGCTCCTTCACAAGGTTGCCAGCATAAGTATTACAGCAATATGGTGGTGGTAAGTACAAGATCAGTTATTGATAGTTTGCCTCTGAGCCATCTGCATTCAAATTTTAAACCCTGGTTCATTGTGATAGAAATAGAACTTCAGCCATTTTTGTCTTACATTTTCCTCTTTTTTTTATTTTGTAGGATCATGGATTTTCCAGGACATTTTGAGCAAATCTTTCAACAGCTAAACTACCAGCGACTTCATGGTCAACTTTGTGACTGTGTCATTGTGGTGGGGAACAGGCATTTCAAAGCCCATCGCTCTGTTTTGGCAGCATGCAGCACACATTTTCGAGCTCTCTTTACTGTAGCAGAGGGAGACCAGACCATGAACATGATCCAGCTGGACAGTGAGGTAGTGACAGCTGAGGCCTTTGCTGCTCTGATTGACATGATGTACACCTCCACACTCATGCTTGGAGAGAGCAATGTTATGGATGTCTTGCTGGCAGCTTCTCACTTACATTTGAACTCTGTTGTTAAAGCATGTAAACACTACCTTACTACAAGGACACTGCCAATGTCGCCACCTAGCGATAGAGTTCAAGAACAAAATGCACGCATGCAAAGATCTTTCATGCTTCAGCAGCTTGGACTGAGTATAGTGAGCTCTGCATTAAATTCCACCCAGAATGCAGAGGAACAACAAAATACTATGAACTCATCAATGAGAAGTAACATAGAACAGCGCACTACTTTTCCTATTCGGCGTCTCCACAAACGTAAACAGTCTTCTGAAGACCGGGCCAGACAGCGAATCAGGCCTACCATAGACGAGTCCATCATTTCAGATGTTGCCCCAGAGAGTGGGCAGTCAGTAGTTCATTCACGGGAAGAATTTTTTTCACCAGATTCACTGAAGATTGTGGACAATTCTAAAGCTGATGTTGTGACCAATAATCAGGAGGATAACACCATTATGTTTGATCAGTCTTTTGGTGCCCAAGAAGATGCCCAAGTGCCCAGTCAGTCTGACAACAGTGGAGGAAATATTTCGCAAATGTCCATGGCATCTCAAGCAACACAAGTAGAAACTAGCTTTGACCAAGAAGCTACTTCTGAGAAAAACAACTTTCAGTGTGAAAATCCAGAGATCAGTCTAAATGAAAAAGAACACATGAGGGTGGTGGTTAAATCTGAGCCCTTGAGTTCCCCAGAGCCTCAAGATGAAGTGAGTGATGTCACTTCCCAAGCAGAAGGCAGCGAATCTGTTGAAGTGGAAGGAGGAGTAGCGAGTGCAGAAAAGATAGAACTGAGTCCTGAAAGTAGTGATCGTAGCTTTTCTGACCCACAATCTAGTACTGATCGGGTTGGTGACATCCATATTTTGGAGGTGTCAAATAACCTGGAACATAAGTCTACTTTCAGTATCTCAAATTTTCTGAATAAGAGCCGAGGTGGCAATTTTGGTGCTAATCAAAACGATGACAATATTCCAAATACAACCAGTGACTGCAGAATGGATGGAGATGCCGCTTATTTAATGAGTCCAGAGTCTGGGCCTACTAATGGCCATTCCTCTGCTACTGTGTCTCATGTGGAAAATCCATTCAATGAATCTGCAGACTCTCACTTTGTTAGACCTATGCAGGATGTAATGGGTCTTCCATGTGTACAGACTTCTGGATACCGGGCAGCAGAACAGTTTGGGATGGACTTTCCAAGGTCTGGCTTGGGACTACACTCTTTATCAAGGGCAATGATGGGCTCTCCAAGAGGTGGAGCTAGTAACTTTCCCGGCTACCGTCGCATAGCCCCCAAAATGCCTGTTGTGACCTCTGTTAGAAGCTCCCAAATGCAAGATAGTACATCTAATTCCCAGTTGATGATGAATGGGACCAGTTCCTCTTTCGAAAATGGGCATCCTTCCCAGCCTGGTCCACCACAGTTGACCAGGGCATCTGCTGATGTTCTTTCAAAATGTAAGAAGGCCTTATCTGAGCACAATGTCTTGGTTGTAGAAGGTGCTCGCAAATATGCCTGTAAAATCTGCTGCAAGACTTTCCTGACCTTAACAGACTGTAAGAAGCACATCCGTGTGCACACAGGAGAAAAGCCTTATGCCTGTTTAAAGTGTGGCAAACGGTTCAGCCAGTCCAGCCATTTGTATAAACATTCCAAAACTACCTGCCTGCGGTGGCAGAGCAGCAACCTACCCAGCACTTTGCTTTAATACTTCCCCCCAAGCCCATACAAATAATGCCAATACAAATTGTAGGAACGTGAACTGAACTGTCTGGAATATTAACACTATTTTGTTCAAGTCTACAGGTTAAGAAGCTGCCCTTGTAGTAAACACTTAAGTGTGATTGTGCCGCCCCCCCCCCCCCCCCCCTCAAAAAAAAGGTCTTGGTCCTGTAAAATGGGGATAATACCATACCTACCTCACAGGGGTGTTGTGAGGCTTAAACAACTGTTTGGACGCGCTTTGAGATGCTCTGAAGGAGGCACTATAGACGTATTAAGTATTATTATTATTATTATGTAAATGCAGGTCTTGGGCTCATGGGGATGCAATCCCTAAAACCAAGTAGTTCCTTTGCTGTGGGGGGAGGTGGGAGGGAAGAAATAGGTAGGAGGGAATGGGTGAAAACGTAGCCAGCTCCTAATTATGTTAAAGTAGCACGTTTCAAGGATGAGAAACTGAAGTGCAAATTTTTTTTAGGAATTTTGTAAAATTGTGAAAGTGTTTAAATAAATAACTTGTAAAATAAGTTGATACATTGAACAAAAATGCAAAGAGCTCTTTACTGTTACTAATGCAGATTGCATATCCTTAAAGAAAAACAATCTTGGATACACCTGTCTACCACAAAATGCTTTAAAATGTTAATTAGGAAAATAGTTGTAGGGGTTCTGAATGTATTTTTGGCTGTTTTCCTGTAATGGACACTGTAATGAAGGTGCTTACCTTGAGTCCAAGACAAGTAACGTTTGGACTGTTAGATGTGTATATAGTTTGAATACAGCAAGATCTCCTAGGTGTTTCACCATTTTTTTTCTGTAAAAACTTGTAATGAGTGATAAGTGACGTACTGTTTCTGTATGTGTTATTCTTAGCAGTATTTTAACCAACTTGTATTTCATATGTTAAAACTCCATATACATAGATGTCTGAAAAGAGCTTGTTATTGTCTACTTTATTTTAAATGGGGGATATGATCTGTGGTGGCTTCTTTTATTGTATAAGATAGTCTCTTACCCTTTCCAGATGCTGACAGTCAATCTGATCCAAGTTATTGTGTAAGCAGACTATCCTTTTCTGATGCTCTTATCTTCAGGCTTTTTAATTTCCTTCTCCATATACTTATTGTCCTCCCAACCATGGATTACTTTGATCTGAGGAACAGTCAGGAATAAGAGCCTGTCTTGCCATATTCATATGCCTCTCTGGATAAAATGTAGCAGTTGACTCTAATTCTTCAATTTAGAGAAGTATCATAAATGTACTTTCCCACAAGTAAAAATCCAACACAAATTTAATTTAAAAAATAGCACTGTACACCTTGTAAAACAAGTTCAGTAATCTGTTTCCCGTGAATCTCACAGATCTTATTTTAATTTCCTCTTCTTTGCTACCATTGTAACTAAAAAAAGGAAAGGAGTACTTGTGGCACCTTAGAGACTAACAATGGGTTTGTTTGTTTTTTTAAACTAATTCCTGGATTTCAACAAACTGGGTTTCTATTAACATTTTGGCGCACTTCTGCTGACCAGCGTTACTCCGTTTATGCAGAATTTGGGTTAGTGCTTCAGGACATCTGTCATATCCAGGAGAGACAGATCATGAGCATCTAATATAGCTAATTCTCAGAAACAGCAGTTGGGGCTTTTTTTAATATAAAAAAAGCATTTGCAAACTTTCCAACCTCCTCCTCCTCTTCAATCTGTTATGTAGCAAACTCATTCTGTGTCTGACTTCGATTAAACTTATGCTATTTTTTTAATAGGGATGTTGGCCTCCTGAAAAATCTTGGATTTATTTGAATGAAAGCTGAAAATTTAAATCCTTATTCCTCAGTTCTGTAGCTAGTTTAGTCTTGAGTGACTGAGACAGTTGAAACACTGGAACTAAACAATCATGGTCAGTACCACAGAAACACGGGACTCTGTATGAAACAATATCTGGCTGAGAGAGAAATAAAATGTACTCTTCTCTCCCGCTTTGTGGTGAGAAAACTGCCTAGGGGGTGTTAACATTTTGATTTGCAATTTAAGCTTCTAAGGTAAGCAGGAACTTGGAACTATTATGAATGACATGATTCAATTTTTTTAAAACCTCACAGTCCCATGACTGTTTTTTAATGGTTACACTTCTGGCTTTTGTTTTTTTCAGGCACCAAGGAAATGTGCCAAGTTCATGAATAACATTAGAAAATGCTGCATTTTATGTGGTAATCATGTTGATGTCAAGGGACTAACAGTATTGTACTACGTCAGTCTCACTGCATCTCCATTAAAACTAGATCATCACTACAATGCAGTGTTTTCTAATTTAATTTTATGTTGATGTGTGGCCTTATTGCTAATCTCTTGCCTTTTTCCAGTTTTGTTCCAAAACCTGTTTTTTTCTATTTTCCAGCTGTTTTCTTTATCTAGCACCTGTGTCTAAAACTCTCCCACTCACAGGAAGAAAGCAGAGATGGGGGTGGGGCAATTAATGCACTTAATTTTAAGAATGAATATGAACATGTAAATGAAACCTGTATTTAACTGTACTTCTGGATCAGTTTTTATAATAAAACGTTTGTGGTTATGTGAAAGGCCATAGTGGTAGGGAGGGCTGCTCTCTTCAGAAACAACAACAAAGAAAAAAAATTAAAATAAACCTTGAATCTTTTAGATGTAACTAACTTAATTTTCAGCATATCAAATTATAGTGTTTCTAGGAGGACATATTACAGCTTCAGTAACCCATGTCTGACTGCTGTTGCTTTCTTGGTCTTCCTATGTGAAGCAATATCTCAGAATAAGCACTCACTACTGAACTGACCCATCTTGTAAAATGAGCAATATCTAATCTCCAAACCTGACAATTACAAAAATAACCTCACCCTGCTTGTGTTCAGACTTAATAGCCGAGCACTATAGTGCCATCTCACATGAAGCTATCAGTATGTTTATAGTGTTATGAGATGCATCTGAAAATAAACACTACATTTTTGTGCTGATGTGTCTGATTTGATTTAATTATTCACTTAATCCTGACTGGAACACTGATGGCCTGCAGTGGGTCTACCAGTCGGTGTGTTGGTCTCGGTGGAGCTGGTTCTCCCCTACAAAGCCCTAAATAACCTGGGACGGCCTTACCTGAGGGCTTGTCTCTCTCCCTGTACCATGCTGCCATTTGCAGGAATGCCTGAACTGGAACCCTCTTGTAATAAAGCAAAGCGGATGGCTGGCAGGGCATTCGGTGTGTAGGCTTGAGGACTCTGAACTGTCCAAATTTGGTGACCTTCCAGGTATGCTGTAAAACAGATCTGTTTGGGTATTTTTGGAGAAGGTTGAAGGTATGATTCCTAGAAAATGAAGTGTCTGAAAGGAGGGTGTCTGGCTGCCTGCGTTCCCATTCACTTGATTATTTTAACTGTATTGCTAATGCTATGCTAGGGTACTGAGATCCTTGCTCAGGTGTCTCTTGATTATTTAAATCTAAATAAATACAATCCTGTAATACCAACACAACCTTTTGTCTTGAAAACAATGCCCCTTGTTGCCAACTCTTCCTCTCTTGGGCAGAATGCTATATGGAAGTAAATAGCTGGAAGTATCTGGTGAGGCGCCTATAGTGGAAGAAAAAGATTTTGAATCAGTTGTGACGTTCCTTAGGGTGCAACGTGAATTGCTGGTCTGTTATGTCCCCTTAGATCTCCAGCCTGGATTGCCTTTTACACTGCCTTACTGTCGGAACAGCAACCTTTCCAGGCTCTGTTCACTCACGGCCCCCAACATGTAAAGTCATTCCTAGTCGAACACGAGTGCTATGCCCAGCCAGCCACAAACAGATACAAGGTGACACCAGCATATCCCTCGGTCCTAGCCTTGCCCCCCAAAAAGTCTTGTACTGTTCGGTGGCCCACTGGAATGTACTAGCTCATAATTAGTCTGTCATTCCAACAGTGGATAATGAATATGCACCAGCCTTGTCTCAAGTGTGGGTTTCCCAGACACTTCAAACAAACACACTGGTTTAGATAAAACAGTAAATCATGTTTAAGTGAGAAAGACCGATATTTTGTTAAGTGATTTACAGGTGATAAGGCATAAAAGTCAGATTTAGTTACAAAAGAGAAAGATAAAACCACAATCTAATTTCTAGACTTTACCTAGGCTAACTCTAAAAGCAACATCAGTTGTCTTCCCATTAGATGCAATATAGTTCACAGGCTGCTGCTTTTTCCAGCCGGGAACCACTCCCCTTCGTTCAGTGTTCTTCAGATATTTAGTAATGTCATGGGAGAGGAGAGGTGGCCAGAGGCTTTCTCCCTCCCACTTCTTATACTCTAACCCTTTGTACTGGAAAAGTCTTTGTGGGGTCATGGGGTCAGCAGTTCCATTGTGAACTTGTTCTGCAAGCTGTCCTGTGGCATTGTAAATAATTTGTTTATAGCTCCCCTTCTGGTGAATTGCCCATTAAGCAGGCAGAATGACAGCATATTTCAGTAACAATCATAGTAAAATCTCATAGCTCCATGTACAATCTTGATATGTTAACAGGACAATGTTGTTCTGCAGATTGAGTTTTCAAATGATACAAGGCATACTTCAAACAAAATATATCATGACCATACAAAAGTGGTGAACATGGGGTGCAGGGTGTCACATGGGGTACAGTATATAAAAAGTCCCTTGGTGTTACAATAATTTTTTAAACTTGCTCTCCTCTGTCATGGAAAAAGGTCTTAGAACGACTGATGCTAGGTTAGCTGCTGGAAAAGTTTGACAAGTTAGAACACGTTTGTTGAGTTATCTGTCTAAACATACATAACACCATTGTTTGTCACTTGGTTTATCTGCCTGTAGCTTCTCTATAGTGATACCAAGAGAAAGGCATACATTTAGATCTATCTGCCAGTGTCAATTGCTTATAATGCAAACTTGGCTTAAGCACAAAACAAACAAGCCAATGGTGTCTCTATGCACTCCACACCAGGGTGATGGTGCAGGTGATGGTGGTTTAAACACCAAGAAATCCTTGGCCATTTAATGGCAATGGCTGTGATACACCCACTTCTTATTTGATCAGCTGCCCCTGGGATGACCAGATGCCTATGTCTACACTACAAAATTAGGTCAATTTTATAGAAGTCAATTTTTCAGAAGCAATTATATATAGTCAAGTGTGTTGTATATAGTCAATTGTATAGTCAAAGCATATTAAGTTGGCAGAGTGCATCCACAGTACCGTGGCTAGCGTCGACTTTCAGAGCGCTGCACTGTGAGTAGCTATCCCACGGTTCCCGCAGTCTCCGCTGCCTTTTGGAATTCTGGGTTGAGATCCCAATGCCCGATGGGGCAAAAACATTGTCCCTGGTGGTTTTGGGTATGTCATCAGTCGCCCCTCCCTCCCTCTGTGAAAGCAACAGCAGACAATTGTTTTGCAGGTTTTTTCCTGGGTTCACTGTGCATGGAATAGAATCATAGAACATAAGGGTTGGAAGGGACCTCAGGAGGTCATCTAGTCCAACCCCCTGCTCAAAGCAGGACCAATCCCTGACTAAATCATCCCAGCGAGGGCTTTGTCAAGCTTGACCTTAAAAACTTCTAGGGAAGGAGATTCCACCACCTCCCTACGTAACTGCATTCCAGTGTTTCACCACCCTCATAGTGAAAAAGTTTTTCCTAATATCCAACCTAAATCTCCCCCACTGCAACTTGAGACCATTACTCCTTGTTCTGTCATCAGCTACCACTGAGAACAGGCTAGAGCCATCCTCTTTAGAATCCCCTTTCAGGTAGTTGAAAGCAGCTATCAAATTCCCCCTCATTCTTCTCTTCCACAGACTAAACATCCCCAGTTCCCTCAGCCTCTCCTCATAAGTCATGTGTTCCAGTCCCCTAATAATTTTTGTTGCCCTCTGCTGGACTCTTTCCAATTTTTCCACATCCTTCTTGTAGTGTGGGGCCCAAGACTGGACACTGTACTCCAGATGAGGCCTCACCAATGTCGAATAGAGGGGAACGATCACGTCCCTCGATCTGCTGGCAATGCCCCTACTTATACATCCCAAAATGCCATTGGCCTTCTTGGCAACAAGGGCACACTGTTGACTCATATCCAACTTCTCGTCCACTGTAACCCCTAGGTCCTTTTCTGCAGAACTACTGCCGAGCCATTCGGTCCCTAGTCTGTAGCGGTGCATTGGATTCTTCCATCCTAAGTGCAGGCCTCTGCACTTGTCCTTGTTGAACCTCATCAGATTTCTTTTGGCCCAATCCTCCAATTTGTCTAGGGCCCTCTGTATCCTATCCCTATCCTCCAGCGTATCTACCACTCCTCCTAGTTTAGTGTCATCTGCAAACTTGCTGAGGGTGCAATCCACACCATCCTCCAGGTCATTTATGAAGATATTGAACAAAACCAGCCCCAGGACCTACCCCTGGGGCACACCACTTGATACCGGACTGACAACTAGACATGGAGCCATTGATCACTACCCGCTGAGCCTGACAATCTGGCCAGCTTTTTATCCACCTTATAGTCCATTCATCCAGCCCATACTTCTTTAACTTGCTGGCAAGAATACTGTGGGAGACCGTGTCAAAAGCTTTGCTAAAGTCAAGGAACAACACGTCCACTGCTTTCCCTTCATCCACAGAGCCAGTTATCTCATCATAGAAGGCAATTAGAATAGTCAGGCATGACTTGCCCTTGGTGAATCCATGCTGACTGTTCCTGATCACTTTCCTCTCCCCTAAGTGCTTCAGAATTGATTCCTTGAGGACCTGCTCCATGATTTTTCCAGGGACTGAGGTGAGGCTGACTGGCCTGTAGTTGCCAGGATCTTCCTCCTTCCCTTTTTTAAAGATGGGCACTACATTAGCTTTTTTCCAGTCATCTGGGACCTCCCCCGATCGCCATGAGTTTTCAAAGATAATGGCCAATGGCTCTGCAATCACATCTGCCAACTCCTTTAGCACTCTCGGATGCAATGCATCCGGCCCCATGGACTTGTGCTTGTCCAGCTTTTCTAAATAGTCCTGAACCACTTCTTTCTCCACAGAGGGCTGGTCACCTTCTCCCCATTCTGTGCTGCCCAATGCAGTAGTCTGGGAGCTGACCTTGTTCTTGAAGACAGAGGCAAAAAAAGCATTGAGTACATTAGCTTTTTCCACATCCTCTGTCACTAGGTTGCCTCCCTCATTCAGTAAGGGGCCCACACTTTCCTTGAGTTTCTTCTTGTTGCTAACATACCTGAAGAAACCCTTCTCGTTACTCTTAACATCTCTTGCTTGCTGCAACTCCAGGTGTGATTTGGCCTTCCTGATTTCACTCCTGCAAGCCCGAGCAATATTTTTATACTCATCCCTGGTCATTTGTCCAATCTTCCACTTCTTGTAAGCTTCTTTTTTGTATTTAAGAGCAGCAAGGATTTCACTGTTAAGCCAAGCTGGTCGCCTGCCATATTTACTATTCTTTCTACACATCGGGATGGTTTGTCCCTGTAACCTCAATAAGGATTCTTTAAAATACAGCCAGCTCTCCTGGACTCCTTTCCCCCTCATGTTGTTCTCCCAAGGGATCTTGCCTATCAGTTCCCTGAGGGAGTCAAAGTCTGCTTTTCTGAAGTCCAGGGTCTGTATTCCGCTGCTCTCCTTTCTTCCTTGTTTTAGGATCCTGAACTCGACCATTTCATGGTCACTACCTCCCAGGTTCCCATCCACTTTTGCTTCCCCTACTAATTCTTCCCGGTTTGTGAGCAGCAGGTCAAGAAGAGCTCTGCCCCTAGTTGGTTCCTCCAGCACTTGCACCAGGAAATTGTCCCCTACATTTTCCAAAAACTTCCTGGATTGCCTGTATGTGCAGATGCCATAGCACTGCTAGCCGTCCTCATCAATGGTGTTTTGCTTGCTCCACCGCTTCCGCTGCAACTCTGCTATCCTGATCTCCTGCGAGCTGGAGGCTTCTGCCTCAGGCTGCTCTCCCAGCTGGCAGCACCTACCCCTCCCTACCCCTTGCTTCGATGGCTCATGAAGCCTGGACAGTAGTAAGGAGCAGTTCAGCTATAGGCTGAGCAAGTGCAGAATGGTGGTAGAATGTGCCTTTGGACATTTAAAAGCTCGCTGGCGCTGTTGGTCAGACCTCAGTGCAACCAACATTCCGATGGTTATTGCTGCTTGCTGTGTGCTACATAATATCTGTGAGAGTAAGGGGGGAGATGTTTATGGCAGGGTGGGAGGTTGAGGCAAATTGCCTGGCATCCAATTTTGAGCAGCCAGACAGCGATTTGAAGCGCACAGCAAGGCACGCTGCGCATCACAGACTTTAAAAACCAGTTTCATGACTGGCCAGGCTACAGCATGACAGTTGTGTGTGTTTCTTTCTCCTTGATGCAAACCCACCCCTTTGTTGATTTTAACTCCCTGTAAACCAATCACCCTCCCCTCTTTGTAGATCCAATCCAGATCTAGTTACTCTACCAAATGTGGATACAGCCCTGTCATCCCTTGTCAAAGACAGGATGATCCCAGTTAAGGGTGATTTCTTCCTCAAGACCAGACAGAGAGGAAGACAGATTGCTTAAGGAGGAATTCTGAAGCTTCCTCTGACACCCTCTAGGTATCCACAGCCTCCATCTCTTCTACTTGAGCCATCCTGGCATGGACTGATTCTCTTTCAAGATCAGAAAATACTTCTGTGTGGGAGCCATTCTGAGAGAGCTTGCATAGCAGCAGCCTCTGTAGCAGGCACCTGTGTGACAGCCTCAGATTCACTGTGAGGACAACGGGCTGTGACCCTGCTTCATGTAATCACTTATGGCTAAGGTCACGGAAAAGGCTGATGCTCATGGCAGACAGATGCTGGCCAAGGCTATTCAGTGAGCCTCTTGACAAATCCACAGCAGGATCCTCTAAATAAATCAATGACGACTTTCCTGACATCCAGGTCCTCGAAAAGAGAATGTAGGCCTTATTTATTACAGATCACATTACTCCTTTTGTTCCTGCTCTGCTAAGCATCTGTGGAGGGACACCCAACCAGCCCTTGGCAGATGGAACAGGTCCAGGGGCACAAGGGGCAGTCATGATCATTCTGGAAAAACCCAATTTTTAATCAAGCATGACCTGGGGCTGACCCCATGACATGGTCACTCAGACAGGGAGCAGGCAACAAGAATCTGCAGCTGGTTGCATCCACACCATGTCAGACAAATGAGTCCTGGATGGAGTCTGCCTGGGTTATGCATTAGAGTCACAGGCGAGTCCCAAACCTAGGTTCTTGATCTCCTGAGCTTCCCCCAACTAGATGAAACACAGCTGCGTGAAGATGGCTATAGATTACCTTGCAACCACCCCCAGACTATTTACTCACATGCTAGTTATCCCAGCCTCTCAGAGAGGAGGGTGCACGCATATTGTTTCCTGTATGGTCTTCTGATCAGGTCCCACTCCTTGGAATGAGTGCAAGAGACAATTTTCTGCAGAGCCGAAGTTCTTGAGCAGCATGGCTTCATTATCCACCATACAGACAGCCAATTGAGTCCAGTACAGCCCAAGTTACACTTGGAAGTCATGAGAGATACTGAGCTACACTAAGTTTTTCTAACAACAGACAGGATATGCAGGATGATAGATACTATCCCCCAAGTCAGCAATCACTGAACTTTATTACAAGGTTAATATCATCCCTCGATATGATGGTATCCTCCACAGATGTCCTGCAATAGTTCCTGATTTCTCTGGATGCAGAGGACCCATCAACTCTATCTACCTTAATCTCATTGCCCAAAGCAGTATTCAAATTTCTATCCTGGTGGCTGCAAATCAGCTACGCGGCAGACCACACGGTGGCAGAGCCGGAGAGAACTGTGGTGACAACTAATGCCAGTCTCAAAGCATGGGGAGCCCATTCAGGGAACAAATCCATCTAAGGATCATGAATGGACAAGGAGCTTCAACACAGTATCAAATGGCCTCAAACAATCAGGAATGCCTTTAAATAGTGCTAACCACAGAGCTGAACAACTGAGATGTTCTAGTGATGTCTGACACCACAGCGGCAGAAGCTTCTGTCAGCAAACGAGGATGCACCAGATCCACAGGCATCCTACAGGAATCCAACTTCCTACATTAATGGGCAGAAAACAACCTTCTGTCCCTTTAAGCTTCCTATATTAATGTGGAGTTGAACATCCAGGCAGATTGGTTGGGCAGACAGAAGATAGAGACGGGGGAATGGAATCTTCACCCAGTCCTTTGACTCAATAGTCAGAGCCCTGGGTCACCCATCATGAGACCTAGTTCCAGTTTCTTCTCTAGAAGGGATCTCTGAGCCATAGCCAGGGATGCACTTTCCCCCGCAGTGATCAGGACCTGCCTTTCCACTTTTTGCAACACTCTCCAAGGTAAATCAGAGCATCAGAGTCTAAATACTCAGTTATATAAAGTTAATTATATTATACCCTCCCTGACTACACGCTTCTATTTGACATCCCACTCTAAGGGATATGCAGACCTTCTCTGGCCAGAAGAATAAAAAAAAAATCATATCTTACCAAAAACCTGCAGATCCCATCCCATGTGCTGAAAGTCATTCCTGGGAGACTAATTTTCCCTCTCACAACTATTCTGCCAACATGAGTTAAGGCAGAATTCATAGTTGCTGCATAGTAGGAAATGTTTGTAGAGTGAAATTCAGAATTTCCAATGTTCAGCCACCTGTTAGCTAATCCAGAGATCTGAATATCTGAGTAGCCCCCCATGGAGGCATTTGACATACGCTGATGTGACACCTGCCCTCTGGGCTGACAACCTGGAGACTGAACTGGGGACCCTCACTGCTAAAATCGTGAGTTGCTACAATTTGAGCTACAGAGCTTTGCTCTCAAGTTAAGAGCGATAACAGACCCATATCCTCTGCAGAACAGGCATGGAGGGGGTCACGTAACATGCCGGCCCTTGGGTCACATCTGACATTAAGTACGTTTAAATCTTTTGCTTTATCAGAGCCATAAAGAAGAAAGCCACCCATCTGATTATGATTGTTGCCTTCTTGTGAAAATAGGACCAACTGATGCAGGAAAGGCAGTGATTTTCTTTGATCTCTGAGTTTCCATCCACATACAGTTATGTGCTCTCCAGAGTCCCACAAGCATTCAGTTTTTCCCTTGAAATAGCACAATATACATACTGCTTCCACAAAACCACCACACAGCTGTGTGTTACTCAAGCCTGGTTTAATAAGTTCTACCTGCAGAATGAGAGAGGCACATACACCAACTTTACAGCAGGAACAAGTCAGGATCTGTGCTGCTTCTCTGGGCTAAGAGACAACGGTCATTTCTAAGGTATGACCTGGCCTAGCCAGCGATGTTCTTGGGATTCTCTTCACAGCTGGAGTTCACTTGGCATACTTTCCTCTTTCAAGCCAGCCAGAAGGTTGTTAGCAGCCAGCACAGACATGGCGCTTCTGGTGGCATAGGTAGCACTTCCAATGTGAGGCAAAATCACTATACAGGGGAGAGAAGACGTATTTCAGAGACTGGTCTGCGCACCAAAGCAGTGTGCTTGTTTACTCTAGCACGTACACTTTCCTTTTGTGGTGGCACTCTTGTGCCACGTCTCTGTAACAAGTACTTGTAACAAGTAACAAGCCAGGATTTCACCCCAGGTTTCCAGAGTTACATCATCTCCCCAAACCATAGTCTATTAGCAGCGCTGGCTGTAGCTTCACCCGTGAACAGAAGAGCAAGGTGTTTCTGGTCAAGAGAGCGAGTGAAAGTGAAAGCCAACTCCAGAATGTCCTTGCTTTTGTTGGTGTCACGGCTACATGCCAGATGGGTTTGGTATCTGAGCAGCTCTGTCAATTAAATTAATAATACATTTTAAGCTTAATGCTTTTATAGGGGAGAGGAAAAGCATTTGTGATCTTGTACCCTTTATGTAGTATAAAAGCTACCTCTTTAAAACTAAATATTAGAAAGCGTAAAGTCATGACCTCTTGTTCCTAACACAGAATCACAGAACTGGAAGGGACCTCGACAGGTTATTTAGTCCAGTCCCCTACACTCAAGGCAGGACTAAGTATTATCTAGACCATCCCTGACAGGCGTTTGTCAAGCCTGCTCTTAAAAATCCCCAGTGATGGAGATTCCACCACCTCCCTAGGCAATTTATTCCAGTACTTAACCACCCTGACAGTTAGGAAGTTTTTCCTACCATCCAACCTAAACCACCCTTGCTGCAATTTAAGCCCATTGCTTCTTCTCCTTTCCTTAGAGGTTAAGGAGAACAGTTTTTGTCCCTCCTCCTTGTAACAACCTTTTATGTACTTGAAAACTTATGTTCCCTCTCAGTTTTCTCTTCTCCAGACTAAACAAACCCAATCTAACATCTCACAGTTTGACAAGAACATAGGACTGGAAGGGTCTTCCTGGCTCACTAACTCAAGTCCCCTGCTATCCCATTCCTGAATTTAGGAAGGGTTGTTTTTATATAACATAAAGGAACAAATTATAACCATAAATTGTTTTAATTAGGGCTGTCAAGCGATTAAAAAAATTAAAAACTGTTTAACAATAATAGAATACAATTAAATATTTTTGGATGTTTTCTACATTTTCAAATATATTGATTTGAATTACAACACAGAATACAAAGTGTACAGTGCTCGCTTTACATTTAGTTTTGATTACAAGAACTTGCACCGTAAAAAAAACAAAAGAAACAGTATTTTTCAATTCATCTAATACAAGTACTGTAGTGCAATCTCTTTATCATGAAAGTTGAACTTACAAATGTAGAATTATGTACAAAAAAAATAACTGCATTCAAAAATAAAACAATGTGAAGCTTTAGAGCCTGCAAGTCCACTCAGACCTACTTCAGCCAATCGATCAGACAAAGAAGTTTGGTTACAACGTGCAGGAGATAATGCTGCCCACTTCTTGTTTACAATGTCACCATCTGAAAGTGAGAGCAGGCGTTCTCATGTCACTGTTGTAGTTGGCGTCACAAGGTATTTACATGCCAGAGGCACTAAAGATTCTTATGTCCCTTCATGCTTCAACCACCATTCCATGCGTCCATGCTGATGATGGGTTCTGCTCGATAACGATCCAAAGCAGAACGGACTGACCCACGTTCATTTTCATCATCTGAGTCAGATGCCACCAGCAGAAGATTGATTTTCTTTTTTGGTGGTTCGGGTTCTGTAGTTGCTCATTTAAGACTTCTGAAAGCATGCTCCACACCTCGTCCCTCTCAGATTTTGGACAGCACTTCAGATTCTTACACCTTGAGTCAAGAGCTGTAGCTATTTTTAGAAATCTCACATTGGTACCTTCTTTGTCAAATCTGCAGTTGACAGGGTTTGTAAATCAAACAACGTGTGCTGAGTCAGCATCCGAGACTGCTATAACATGAAATATATGGCAGAATGCGGGTAAAACAGAACAGGAGACATACAATTCTCCCCAAAGGAGTTCAGTCACAAATTTAATTAACGCATTATTTTTTTAACGAGCATCACCAGCACGGAAGCCTGTCCTCTGGAATGGTGGCCGAAGCATGAAGAGACATATGAACGTTTAGCATAATTGGCACGTAAGTACCTTGCAATGCTGGTTACAAAAGTGGCATGTGAATGCCTGTTCTCACTTTCAGGTGACATTGTAAATAAGCAGGCAGCAGTATCTCCTGTCAATGTAAACAAACTTGTGTGTCTTAGCAATTGGCTGAACAAGAAGTAGGCCTGAGTGGACTTGTAGGCTCTAAAGTTATAAGGTTTTGTTTCAGTGCAGTTATGTAACAAAAAACAAACAAAAAAATGTATCTTTGTAAGTTACACTTTCATGATAAAGAGATTGCACTACAGTACTTGTATTAGGTGAATTGAAAAATACTATTTTTTTTTTTTACAGTGCAAATATTTGTAATAAATAAATATAAAGTGAGCACTGTACACTTTGTATTCTGTGTTGTAACTAGAAAAGGAATACTTTTGGCACCTTAGAGACTAACAAATTTATTTGAGCATAAGCTTTCGTGAGCTACAGCTCACTTCATCGGATGCATTCAATGGTTTTTCCACTGAATGCATCCGATGAAGTGGGCTGTAGCTCACGAAAGCTTATGCTCAAATAAATTTGTTAGTCTCTAAGGTGCCACAAGTACTCCTTTTCTTTTTGTGAATACAGACTAACACGGCTGCTACTCTGAAACCTGTGTTGTAACTGAAATCAGTATATTTGAAAATGTAGAAAACATCCAAAAATATTTAAATAAATGGTATTCTATTATTGTTTAATAGCGCAATTAATTTTTTTAATCACACGATTAATTTTTTTATTGGCTTGACAGCCCTACTTATAACACGCTCATCACCTCAGTATCTGAGCACTAAGGTCCCAATCCATTGATGTTAATGAGACTACTCATGCTCAAAGCTAGACAATGTGCTTAAGTCCCTTGCTGAAATGGGATCTAAGTTCTCTGATGGAATACTGAGATCAGTCAGTGAGATGTTTGCAAATGAGCAAATACATTTTAATTAACACACACACAGCTGACAAGGTTTTCCCTCCTCAATGCCCCTCATATCACACTGCCTTGCTACGGCTCAATGCTATGAGCAGCTTGCTTAAGGACACATGGTTTGACTTTCCCTTGCCTGTGACTAATTAGCCCCTCATATTAAACCCTTGCTAGACATGAACCATGCCAAGCTCACCAGGACTGAAATTCCTTGTCAGGTCAGTGTGGCAAACAGAATAGCAAGAACTACATGAGCCCCCCACCTCTAGCCACTAGAAGCCACTGCCTCCCCATTAGAAGTGCAGGAAGTGGAATGTAAGAGAAGGTGCAAACAGCTGCTGTTTGCAAAGACGGTGGCTTACCACAATTCTTCAGGGAAAGGAGAGGGTGGTCAGTAGGCAGCGGCTCCGGGGTTGTGACATCCAGACCAGCAGCTGCAATCTGGCCACTAACCAAAGCCTGGTACAGATCTTCCTGGTTCACCACCGCTCCCCTAAGAAACACAGTTTAAACTATACAAGAGCTAGATATTGTTACTAGTAAGCCAGACAAGCATGGGATACAAACACTGCCACGTGCTTAACTTTACACACTCGAGTCATCCCACCGGCTTCAGTGGAATGACTCACCTGCCTGAGCGTTTGCCCCATCAGGGCCTTAGGCATGAATAATCAGCTCTGTATGTCACTCTGTGCCCGTTGTTCCATACCACTAACCATCAGGTTCTGCTTAACTGTTCTCTCCATGTTCTGTACCGGGTTATTGTAACAGTCACTGTACTCAGGTACAAACCTGGCTGTAGTCCAGGGGTTCTCAAACTGGGGCTCAGGACCCCTCGGGGGGGTCACAAAGTTATTATATGGGGGGGGTCACGAGCTGTCAGCCTCCACCCCAAACCCCGCTCTGCCTCCAGCATTTATAATGGTGTTAAATATATAAAAAAGTGTTAATATATAAGGAGGGTCGCACTCAGAGATTTGCTTTGTGAAAGGGGTCACCAGTACAAAAGTTTGAGAACCACTGCCGTAGTCGCCCATTGCATTCTAATCCCATTTGGACACACATAATTTGAAGTGTGTTTAAGCACCGTTTTAACCCTCAGCTGTAACATCCATGTAGATGGGACCGTAGCATCTGGCCAAACCCAGGCGGCTCCTATCTTCCCTGGTGACAGCCCGCACACCCATTCCTGGGAGAAAGGCGTTTGAGTGTCACTACCAACACACACAAAGCTTTTCCACCCTGGAGAACAGCCGCAGCCGCTTCCTCCCAGGAAGGAGAGACTCTAAAATGGCACCCACTTTGCAGCGTTTAGAGCGGCAATAATCCCATGATGTTCGCTGAACTCCACCCTAATGGGGAGAAAAGTTACTTTCTTGTGTACATTAATATAGAATATCCATTTAAAAGATAGTCGCAGCAGGCCAAGCTACAAGGCTAGCAAGCACAAGCTCAGAGCTGGTGCCACAAGCCAATATTGGCCCCCCATGGCTATGGCAATTTCAGCATAATCCCTTGACCTCCATAACACCCGTGTATCAGGTACCTGAATATCACCTGCTTTTCCTTTTGCACCCACAATCTAGTCTTGTTTAAGATGACAGTGAAGACTTTCACCTGCTTGTGTTGATAAACACAGACGTTTTCTTCATTCGGCTGAAGAAATCCTTGTTGCACACTCCTTTAGTGTCAGGAGTTAAGGAACAGGTAACAACCACAAAGTCTGACTCCTCTGCTAGCTTGGCGAGTGGGACTGGGGGGAAAAAACCCAAAAAAACCCCACATGTAATGAGTTTCCTGGGGGGAGGGAGGGTCTTGTTTATTTTCACTAGTTTGGGAACTACCCAATGTCCATTAAATAGTCATTAGTGAGGGACTATTGCTTCAGGAAGACCTTGCTAACCTCACCCCATGACTGGGTTGCCAAACCCAAACAAAAACAACATATAAACAAGGTGCCATATTTTAAAGGACCTTTAAAAAGAATAGACCAGGTTTCATCAACCAAAAGAGGAAATTTACCTATGCTTAGCAAGTCCGTCTTCTACCCCAGAGGTGGCTGCATTGTGCATTTCAGGGGTGGTACAGATTAGTTAGCAAAATATTACCATAATATTTTAAACGAACATTTAGAAGTTTAGGGATCTGGGGCAAAAATTGGGGATTGGTCCTGCTTTGAGCAGGGGGTTGGACTAGATGACCTCCTGAGGTCCCTTCCAACCCTGATATTCTATGATTCTAAGTTCTGTAAGGCCTGAAGACAGATTTGACAACTCTTTCAGCTTTCACCCAAGGAAGGGAGGAGAGAAATAGGTAGAGTTCACTGGATTTACAAACCAAAAGATTGACCCCAACAGAAATTGATTTTTTTGGAACCGTTTATTTTTCAAACACAAGTCACAGCTGGGCAACAGCTTGGGACTTTGCAGGAAAAAGTCTATCAGTGAGTTTGAACATGCAGAAAGGCACAGTACAGAGAATGTGCATTATTATAGGTAGGAAAACAAATACTTGATATAAACGAGACTATATCTGAAGAGAGTCTCATTTGGGAATTGCCAGTTATTTCTAAGAGGTCTGGGATGAAATCTTGGCCCCACTGAAGTCAGTGGGGTCCAGATTTCACTCATGACATTGTCACCACTTTCAATCAACAACATACGAAATGCGGTCGTGCTCTACACTCAAACACCAGCCACTCTTTGGGGCCTTAATAATAATTCAGCACTGCTACACTGCGCTTGAGGAATCCTTCAAGTTTCCAATCACCACACCCAAGGACAAGATCTTCCCTGCATCAACTCATTTGTACGCTTTGTTATTCTGCACTTACGAAGAAAGTTTTGTTTCCAGAGCTGTGTTTCCAGCTTCATTTAGGTCTCTTACCAAACTCGGCTTGAAACTCCACGGCGTTCTCCGGTTTTGGGCGACTTCCCGTATACAAAAATTTCTTGACCCCGAATGGCTTTAGACGGCACGCCACTGCCTGTCCTAAAAACAAGACAAGGTCACGTCTCTGCACACTGAGATCATGCACTGCAGCAGGTATATCACTAACCCTGCAATCTGACAGCCCAAAACCGAGCGTATTGCTTCTGCATCTTTCGACAAGGCCGCAGAATGCATCCACTATTCACTCAACTGCAATGAAACCTGCCACTTTCATTAAGAGATTACTGTAACTTCCCCAGCTAGGATTGTCACTGAGGTTTCCCATTCATTATGGAGGGAACATGCTCTCATTCACTCCGTGGGAAGTGAAGGAATTTTTGATTGGTAGGGCGGCTGCAGCAAAGGGAATGATGGGACATTAAATCTGAAGTGACATTTTGGAGAGAAAATTTAAGGGAGATTAAAAATAAAAAAAAAAAAAACTGAACATTGACCAACTCAACAAGCTAATAGACAAGCCAGCACTCCCGTACACCATGGACTTTGTCTGGGATATTTGTTTAACTGAAATAAAGCAAGAGAAAGTCCAGTTTGCTTTAGGAGTCTGATAAGGTGGAAATATGTGCATGTTTTACAAATTAAGGTCTAAGCCTGATTGCAATCGCACGCTAACTGGTAGGATGGAGAGATGCATTCCTGCTTAGTCAGCCTCGGGCTCCTGGCGGGGGGGCAGGTGAATGGGGGAGTGTCCCATCAGCCACTGGTTTGAATGTCCTCAGAATCTTTTGTCCTTTACAGTTCTCTTTATTTATTTTGCAGTTTCTGTGAATGTGCTCAGCACCGCTACCACGGGGCAAAGTTAAACACAAAATTGTTACCATAACCAAAGAATGAAGTAACTTGTGAACTCCCCACCTAACGGGTGAGAGCATAAATGTCTGCTCAGCAAAAGCCTGTGTGAACACAGGGGCTGAAAGCTACACCCAGGATTCATCGGATTCTATGAATAACAAGAAAGAACACTTGAGTCATGGGTTGTTCCCTGCAGGAAAGGGGGCTGGACACAAGTTCACATGCACACAAAAAACAGAGGCAGAGAGAAGAAAGTTTCTGGCGATGATAAAATTGAGTAAAATATTAAAGCTACAGACAGTACACACTGGAGATCTAAACATCAGCTTACTGATCACTGAGTTCGTTATTTTAATCAATCATTCTATTCTATACAGGTAGTTGTACTGTGCTCATCACCACAGTAACTGAGCGCCTTCCACAAGTGCATTAAGTAATGACAGCTGGTCTGTAGCTGTTCTCTCATCCTCTCCCCAGAGGGAGAAGTGTGTGCAATGAAGTGTCTTCTTTTGGAAAATTATATCTTACACACACACACACGCGTTGCTATGTCAGTCAACAGTGCTCACATTATTGGGAGATAAATACTAGTATATATCTACACAAAAGAATACACTCACCTATTCTTCCCAGCCCTATGATTCCTACAGTGCTACCGGACAGCCCGTATCCACACATCCACAGCGGCTTCCATGTTGTCCAACCACCACTACAAAAGGAAGTGAAATACAAACAGATGTTAGACCAATTCCATTTTCCAGGTTGGCTTGGAGTCTGGATATGGACCCAACAAATTACAAATGGCACAAATACTTCACAACCCATGTGTCACATACTGGTAGAAATGATTTAGCACCCTAGAAACAGGTATGAATGGTGCGAACATGCAGCGACGGGGTCTATAATGTTCCTGCTTTAAGTCACCTTAGCATTAATTAGAGCAGCCTCAAGACTGATCTAACTTTTGTTCCACTCTCCACAACCCCTGGGTACAGCCTTTGTGCAGTGAACTCTGGCCATACCCACAACGTCCTTCCCACACTGGGAGCAGGTCCAGTGCAGGGCCCTTCTAGCTGCTCTCTTCTGGCCGGGGAGGCCCCATGCACAATCTAGGGGGCTCTTCAGGGGGCCATTTTCACCTCCTTTAAGGCCCCTTTATACTGCTACACACGCTCTAGCTGGATCACTGCCCAAGCACACAGAGTTATGCCTTAGATTTAGGACTTAAAACTGCCTCTTTGTTAAGGTGCAAGATAATTGCATTTAACTCACTGGGCTCATAGAACGATGTTGATCTCAGCTAGTCCAGTGCAAATCCAGAGTAACTGTAACTGCATCCATTTAAACTTCTCAAGGCAGGGACTGCCTTTACTTTGGTGTATTCGGGTCCAGGATTGATCAAGCACACAGTCTATGGAGTTACTCCAGACTCACACTGACATCACACAGCTCAGAAGCCAGTCCTAAATTGTAAATACTCACTTCTTCACTTCCTCCACTGACTCCGGCAGCCTGCGACACGTAGCTAAGAGCAAAGCTACCGAGAGCTCAGCCGTGGCATCGGTCAGGATGTCCGGGGTGTATCCCACACGGATTCCACTGCAATTTAAACACAGCATTTCAGTCCTCAAGTGTTAACACATGAAATGCTCGTTTGTTTACATTTGGATGAAATCCTGTTTGTATTACACTGCATTCTGCTGGGCATTTTTTCTACACATGTTCTTATATCACCATCTTTTCGGAGCATCAACCAAACCATAATTAATCAATCACTGACCCTCACAACCCCGCTGGGAGCTCAGGCAGTACAGATGGGGAACTGAGGCCCAGAGAGACTGAGGGTCACGTTTTAAAAGCTATCTAGGTGCGTAAAGATGTAGACAGGTGCCAAATGGGATCCTTTAAAAATCTGGTCCTTATGCTCAGATCCTCAAAGGTATTTAGGTTCCACTGAAATCAATGGGAGTTAGGAACAGACATACCTTCAAGGATTTGGCCCTAAGTGGCTTTCCCAAAGCTGGGAGCTGAACCAACATTTCCCGAGTCCCAGTGCAATGCCTTACCCCCAAGCCGACCCATCCTCTGTTCCAATTGGTTTCTCTCAATTAACAGTTCGCCATTTCTTTCACCCAAGAGAATGGCAGGGGACACAGAAAATAGCAGAAGAAAATGCATTCCATGGTTATGAGTGAGCACACAAAGGAGCAAACAATACCGCTTTTTAATTTCTTCTAGAGCCAGATGGTCAACACCCACAGACAGCGTGCTGATTGTTTTAAGGTTGGACCCTGCAAAACATGAAGACAGAACCCTCAAAACCTACTGAGCTTAAAAAGACCGAAACACAACAACAGAACAAGGGAAAAATTAAAGGATAAAAATGTCTTACAATTACTGGTTTGTAATTGTCTGAATCTTCGGAATCTACTCTAATGACCAGAAACACCTAACAGGGCTGAAACTGAAGGAGGTCAATACTACTTTCTCAGACAGCTGACTCTGGACATTTGACAGTGCTTTGTGTCTAGTCAGTTTCATGGTTTCCCCCTCACAGCTGGTCAGTTTCCTCCTTCACTTGAGATTCACAGAATTAGGCCGGAGTGACCATTATGGCCATTTGATCTGATCTCCTGTTAACACAGGCCAGGGAACGTCACCCAGTTATTTCTGCAACAAGCTCATAACTTCTGTTGGATGAGAACAGATTTTTTACAAGACACCTTGTAAACATTAACTGGGAAGGGAAGCAGAAAATCCCTTTAAAGAATTGAAACCAAAATCAGGAGGATTTGCCAGAAATAGGATTTTTTTTAAATGCCAAAAACATCAAAGAAAGTTGACAGTGTTCCGTTAGCTAAGGAAAAGTCTCTTTAAAGATGCTGTATCTATATTCCTAGCTTCTTCTCCTTGGCTGGGATGGGAACAAGTAATTCTTTAGTGGTCATTTTCTGGGGAACTCTACCCTAGGCACAGAAGTTTTTTTTTGCAGGGAAAAAAACACACACCCAAAAGGGACTGACAGTGAATTCTGGCTAGTGAGGTTCACTGGACCCTGAATTTCTGGCCAGCGGACATCAGGGAGCTAGACACATCTCTTCATGTCTTACAACTCTGTGCCGCCGTGATGGAGGGACACAGTGTGAGGTGGAATTGAAGTGGAAGATTCGTATTAATGCATGGCAGCAAAGGAAGGCTCAGCCAATCCGCTTCTCAGGGCTGTGAGGGCGAGACACCGGGACTGAGATCCAGGCAGCACGGACACAATTCTGTATGTCCTCTCTTTCTTCAATGACAAAGGATCAGCTAGAGCCATTCACAAGAGAGCCGCCGCCCATACCCACCTGCTGCATCGAGGACCTCTTTGTCTATCTGGTCAGACAAGACACAGAGCAGTCCATGCTTCCCAGCCACCCCCGCCAGCAATTCTGACCGCGGGATAGGTTCGTCTGAATCCCATTGCTGGATGCTGCAGCTACAAGGATACAGGAAAATCACAATCACATTAAAGCAAGAGAAAGAGGCCCCCTTCAAGCCAGCACTCCGTACTGCCCCAGGTATTCGTACGGTTTTGCCAAGGGAAATCAACAAAATGGAGTGAGAAACACACTCTTATTTTAGGCAGGGAGATTAGGATTCCCTCTTTTCCTCCCTTGTGGATTGCCCTTTCACATCCAGGATGGTGGCACACAGTTGCTAAAATACAGCCACATGGTGTCCTGTGTAGCACACGCAAGCCACCTGTGAACTGGCACATGAAAGGTCCAGCACCTTCTTTCAATAACTGCAGCGGCGGAAGGAGGAAGAATAGTAGCGGGATCTCTTCAGACATAGAGCAAAAAACATTAGTCTTGCAATGACCTGACAACACATGCACGCTGCTTGCTTGGAACACCTTCTGAGCTCTGGCATCACTTTCAGCTTGGTCAAACCTTGCCTCAAGCCCGCATCAGCTGGGATCACTGCATACTGGTCTGGTGTTCTTTACACAGGCTGTCTAACGTGGAAACCTTGGTTTTTAAAGCTCCAAATGGTACAGACATTAGGGCAGGTCAAGAACTTCCCCTTGAGCCTCAGCCTGGACGGTATCTGTGCTCAGAAGTGACCCATCTTTCAGGGATCCCCCCAGCTGGACTGCATCAGCAGCCCTTACTGTGGAGAGTCCTGGGATGCAGAACTGGCTTTCCCTTAACCTTTGCCCCACTTCATCCTTCCAGTTTTAAATAGCAAATGAAACTTTCCCTGGGTGGCACTTGCCTCTCTAGGTTCTTATATGGCTCTCCCATCACTGGAATATCCAAGCACCTCCTAATCAACAATGAATTTATCTCCACAGCACCCCCATGAGGCAGGGAAGTATTGTCATTGCCATTTTACAGATGGGAAAACTGAGGCACGGACAGACTAAGTGATTTTTCCAAGGTCACATAGGGCAGTCTGCATCCCTAGCCAACCCCTTAATCACACAAACCTAACTGCCCACTCCTTTCTGAAGGCCTTGTTTTGGATGTTGGTCGATTTGCTCTTTTCATTTTACTGCCCTCGGGGTCCCAACAGTGCTCTGCGAACACACTTCTGCAAATCAGCGTGGGGGCCTACAATTTTACAGAAGGCCTAGAATGCTGCAGGCAATTTAAACGAAGACACCACACAACCACTTACTGCCCAGGCACTAGCGGGGGGGGCGCCCCAGGGGTCACTGCATTTCCGTAACCCCAGTAACTGATATTTTGTCATATGTGAAAGTTGCTTGTTTTCTTAAAGAACAAAAACAGGCACAAAACACAACGTAACTCATTTTAGCACATTCAATGCACGAAACGACGCTGAGCTGTCGGAACCTATGCGCCAGGAGAAGCGTAATCCAATGGCAGCCACAGCAGAGCTGGGGGCGGCAGAGGTTAATTCTTTTAAGGCACTGTTTGCCCTTTGGCTTTGCATAGACAAAATAATGAAGGGGGAGGGGTCAGCTGTAGTTAGGAAAACAACTTTCAATACAAGACGCAGGTTTTGTTTCTGAATGTTTTGCCTGGGAAGTACTGGAAGGTCAGAGATAGTTAAACTGGTGATCTGAGGATAACGTACAATGTCAAACTAAGGTTAAAACATTCAGGTAACCCATAGCCAGAGAGAGGGAGGGAGGACACATAACAGGCCTCCTTCTGCTCCCATTGAAGTCAGTCGCAAAACTCCCATTGATTTCCCTGCTGCAAAACATAGGCCCTGATCCTACCAACACCTAGGCATGGCCTTAATTTTATACATGAGTAATTCCACTGATGTCAACTGGATTAACCAGGTGCATAAAATTAAGGATATACACAAGTGTTTACACAATTGGAATTGGGACCTTAGCTAGCTATATTCTATGCACAGCATAGTTATTGTTATTTTAACTTTTTGCTTCCTGGAATCAAAGGCACCGACCAGCATCAGAGATCAATTGTTTACAAAATAGTTTGGCATTTTTAAATTTTTTTTTTTTTTTAAAGCAAAGTCTTTTCAAGTCACAGGAAGGGGGAAAAAAGGATTCTGGGCACATTTTTCAAAAGTGCCATATATCCCAAAATCAAGGGGAGTTAGACCCCCCAGATCCACAGAGATAGTTATACACCTAAGTGATTTAGGAGCCCAAATCTTATCGAAAGTCAGTGGGACTCAGAGGCTTCAAAGGACAACATTTTCAGAAGTGCCTAACACAAGAAGGGCACAGCAGTTTGTTTCTTTCCTTGTAAATAAACACTAGCTCTCTGTCCCCCAGGCCTCAGCCTCTGACGGGTCATTTACAAGAAAAAAGGAAATTACCACCCTTCTATAAACGCCTCTGATCATCCGAGTTTGTCATGGAAAGGGTCAGAAACAGACGGAACTGCCACCACAACAATCCGCATTGTAAACACCTGCCCTTGCCCTCTGGGACACGGAACACACCGGCGCCCACCCTAGATAATCACACTGTGTATCTCGCTGTCTGAAACAGGCTGTGAACTCTTCAGGGCTGGGTCTCTTGTCTTTTTACTAGGGCTCCAGGTCCACTTACAGAGTGACAAGTGATGAACTCAGCGACTACATCTGGACCCAAAAACCTTAATTTCCCTTCTGGATCCTTCTCTCTAGAGCAGCATCTCAAGGTTCTTATTCTCAGGCTGGCAGCTCCTGGGGGCAGGGGCGTGTTTGTACAGCGCCCAGCGCAAGGGGCCATGGCGGGCGCTGCGGGGCACCATGGCCACACGCAGAGCAGATAACACCGCAACAAGGACCATTTGACAAGGCGTCTTCCGCCTGCCCCTGGCTGTCGGTGGCAGCAATCGGAAGAGGACCCCAGCGCATTTCAGGGGGGCTGTGCGCCCGTCACAGGCGCTGGTGACGGACTCCTCAGCCCCCGGGACGCAGACATGGGGCCTGCCTTTCCAGAAGCAGCGGTTAATCCTGGGTGCCCAGGCTGCCACCCCTCCGAGGCGCTGCCCGGGCCTCCCAGCAGGGCCGGGGCTGCTCAGCACCGCTCAGGATCGAGCCCCGAGTCGGGCAGCCCCCGCCCCCCGCAGAGCCCCACTGGCCACGGCACCCGCCTGCCGCGACGGGCCCAGCGGCCCCCGGGGCCGCCGCACGTGGGGGGAGCCCAGCGCCCGCCCGGCCCCGCCGCCGCCTGCAGACCCCGCCCGGGGGGCCCCGGCCCCGGCGCCGCCTGCAGACCCCCCCCGGGGGGCCCCGGCCCCGGCCCCGCCGCCGCCTGCACACCCCGCCCGGGGCCCCGGCCCCGGCCCCGGCCCCGCCGCCGCCTGCAGACCCCGCCCGGGGGCCCCGGCCCCGGCCCCGGCCCCGCCGCCGCCTGCAGACCCCGCCCGGGCCCCCCGCCCCCGCCGGCCCCCCCCCCCCCCGCCCCCCCCCCCGGCCCCCCCCCCGCCCCGGGCCGGGGCCCCCCCCCCCCCCCCCCCCGGGGCCCCCCCCCCCCCTCCCCCCCGCCCCCCTCCCCCCCGGGCCCCCCCCCTCCCCCCCCCCCCCCCCCTCCCCCCCCGGCCCCCCCCCCCCCCCACCCCCCCGGGCCCCCCCCCCCCCCCCCCGGCCCCCCCCCCCCCCCCCCCCCCGCCCCCCCCCCCCCCCCCCCCCGGGCCCCCCCCCCTCACACCCCCCCGGGGCCCCCCCCCCCCCTCACACCCCCCCCCCCCCCCCCCCCCTCACACCCCCCCGGGGCCCCCCCCCCCCCCCTCACACCCCCCCGGGCCCCCCCCCCCCCCTCACACCCCCCCGGGGCCCCCCCCCCCCCCCCTCACACCCCCCCGGGCCCCCCCCCCCCCCCCCACACCCCCCCGCCCCCCCCCCCCCCCTCACACCCCCCCGGGCCCCCCCCCCCCCCCCTCACACCCCCCCGGGGCCCCGCCCCGCCCCGCCGCCTGCAGACCCCGCGCCCCGTCTTACACGCCGGCCTGGCTCAGGGCCGCCAGCCCCTCGCGGGGGATCCGCCGGGTGACAAACGCCTGCATCAGCCCCGCAGCCGGCCGAGCGGAAAGCGGGGGCCGCCCCGGCTTCCCTGAACCCTCGCCTGGCTGCCCCAGCGGCCCCCCGCGTCCTCTCTCCGCCTGGGCTGCCGGCCTCCTTCCCCGCCTGCGCGCGGCTCGCTCCGGCCTGTCTGCCCGGCGGACCCCGGGAGCAGCCGGCGGGTGCTTTGCGTGGCCGGGAGCGGCAGGGCCTTTGCCTCTGTCTGGATCGTTCGCTGCACGCTCCGATCACGGGCTCCTCCCCCGGGGCAGGGGCAGGGGCAGGGGCAGGCGTGGCTACAGATTACCAGCGGCGGGGTGGGAGCAGCTTTCTTCCCTTTAAACCGTCCCAAAACAATAAAAAAAAGAGAGTCCCACCCCCCCACAAAAAAAATTGTTTTAAGCACAACCCCTTTTTTTTTTAACACCGTTTCTTCCCGCAGGTAGTTAACCTGGAAGAGCCATTTTGGGGCGCTTCACGGAGTGGCAAAGCACACGTGGGACCTTCCATCCAACTTCTCTTTTCTCTTGTCAGAGGTTCCCTCCCGAGCAGCAGCGAGAGGGAAAGCTCCTGAAGGGGCATCCCTGGTTCATACTAAATTAAAGCGATTCGCCCGCCAAAGGGGTGGCTGGAAGGGTGTGACACCCGGCTCCAGAAGGATCAATGGAAGTGCTGTTGGACACTGCAGTTTCATCAACCTGAGAATTGCACCCTGGCCAGCAATCCATGGAGCGACTGGTCTAGCCTGTTTTAGGAAAGGATCAGCTGTTTATCTCCAAGAATAACATTGTCAGATGCAGAAACTAAGTCATAAAGTTACAAGGGATCCCAGTTCGATCGCTTCAGAGTCCGGAGCATGCACTGATCAGCCAGGGGGTTCAAAAGGAATTTCCCACCACTACAAAGGATTGTACAGTCCAGTAGGTACATTATGGGTTAGTTGTTTGTTCCTTCCTCTGAAATATCAGGGATAGGCCTGTTGGGAACACTGGGGCATGGCCACTAGGTAACTCGAGGGGATGGAAGACCACGAGTGTCGATGAAGCCCCCTCGCACTAGGCCCAAGTGTCCTTGCCCCCCCCCCCCCCCCGCCCAGAGGCACTCGCAGCAGCTCTGCGTACTAGGCCCAAGTGTCCTTGGCCCCCCCGCCTGGAGGCACTCCCAGCAGTTATGCTGAGGATCTGCAACAATATGTTGCAGAGTCAGACTGCCTGAAACTAAACAAGGCCAAACAGGGCGGATATGGAAGAAAAATGCTGAATAAAGCAGCTTTATGTATAGTTTAACAAATGATACAAAAAACAAGGGAACTAGCTGGTAACTGGATTGGCTGGCTGTATGGATACTTAGGGCAGCTTGCTATTGGATAAGTATGCTGAAGAAAGGATGTATAAAAGCCTGTGTAACTTCCTGCTTTGTGTGCAGGATTTGAGATTCTATTCTCCCTGTACCTTTTTGAAGCTTCAAATAAACTTTTCTGCTTCTCCACCCCATTGTGATTACTGGGTGAAGCACACCGGGTGGCGAACCAACCCCCTGCTGTTGTTTTGCCTCTCGGCACTGGGTGCCGGCAACAGGCCTGAGACAGGTTATCAGACCACTTCAGTGTTTCACACATTAAAGCTGACTTCCCTTGGGCGCTGCAAATAAGTCAAGAGGGAGCGGGGAAAAAATGTATTTCTTTATGGCATCCTCATTTTCAGTAGCACGCTGTGAAAGCTGGCCCAGCTTTCCTAACGCAACAACGATGGGTCAGCAGTTGGTACCTTGGCAGAACGCAGCAGGGATTTCTGAACCCTGTTTCCGGGGCAGTCCCGGGCAATGGCTCTGCGTGTGCGTTAACTTGCATTTATGGCGTCTCTGCTGATATGTGAGCAGAGTGTGCTTCTTCAGCCGGAGTTTGACCCAGAACAGTCCCCTGGAACTCCAAATGATAGGAACTAACTGGCTAACTTCTGCCCTGAGCAACCCCACTGTTTACAGAGCAGGAGCCAGGGGTACAAGGCAGGGTAGAATTTGCTTCTCCACAACTAGCTAATGAATTAATTCTGCTCTTAGCAGCAGCAACATAATTCCAGAGGTGTCTTCAATGGCTTCCATGGAGTTACTCTGGATTCACACGGTTGTCAGCGAGGTCAGACTTGGTCCCTAACAAACCTTTCTAACTAACCAGCAAACAAACAAGCAAACAGTATGTTTTGCAGGCAGCCATTCCCCCAGGATGTAGGCCCTTAGTGAGAGAGGTCTGATTGGATTGCTGAGCTGCCGACTTACATCCTACACAACATGGCCCAGTGCAGAGCTGGCTATTTCACGGAGCATGTTGGCGCTGTCCTATTGATCTGCTGGCACCTCCAGAATCGTAGTCGGGAGCAGCATTTCAGTTGCCCTTAGTGAAAGCAGAACTCTGCATGCCATCAATAAAGGGCAAAACAGCTGAAAGAAAATACATCTGGTTTGGGGAAGGGAGGGGGTGAAACCCCCCCAGCCTGCTTTCAGCCCAGAGCGGTTTGAAGACACCAAAATAGCATGCCTTGAAAGTCAGTGAGAAGAGGATGCTGCTGAGAGAAGAAGGAGCTCCCTGGGGATTTCTCAGCTAACAGGGCCAGCCCTAGGTAGATACCCTAATTGCGCAGCCATACTGTTGCAGGCCTTTGTTTTGTCAGCATTCGTCCCAGCATGCAGTGTAGATCATCCCCCTCTCGATGGCCTGACTCCCCCTACTTTGAACTGTGCAGTCCCAACCCCCTCCCAGGGGTTGAAATCTTCCCTCTCCGTCTGCTCCCTGCTTGTGCCACTATCACAGACATGACAAGTGCCGAGCCCTGCCCCTAGGGTGACCAGATGGTAAGTGTGAAAAATCAGGACGGGGGTGGGGGTGGGGGGGTAATAGGAGCCTGTATAAGAAAAAGACACAAAAATTGGGACTGTCCCTATAAAATCAGGACATCTGGTCACCCTGCCTGCCCCCCACCCCTTCCTTCCCATCTCCCTAATGAGCATCCTCCTCTTGCCAAGCAGTCCCAATCTGCCCGAGGCTCATTCACGCTTTCCTTTGCACAGGGCTCTGCAAAGCCCAGGCCTGGCATGCGAATGTCATTGCTCCTCAGTGCCTGGGAGTTGCAATGTGCTCAGCTCTGATAGCTGATATGGCGGGGCATGGAGACGTGGTATTCAGGGATGGAGACCTTCACAAATTCCAAGGGTTTGGTTTGACATATAAGAAAGGCCATACTGGGTCAGACCAAAGGTGCCCCAGAGGGAATGAACAGAACAGGTAATCATCAAGTGATCCATCCCCTGTCGCTCATTCCCAGCTTCTGGCAAACAGAGGCTAGGGACACCATTCCTGCCCATCCTGGCTAATAGCCATCGATGGACCTATCTTCCATGAACTTATCGAGTTCTTTTTTTGAACCCTGTTATAATCTTGGCCTTCACAACATCCTCTGGCAAGGAGTTCCACAGATTGACTGTGTGTTGTGTGAAAAAATACTTCCTTTTGTTTGTTTTAAACCTGCTGCCTATTAATTTCATTTGGTGACCCCCTAGTTCTTGTGTTATGAGAAGGAGTAAATGATACTTCCTTATTTACTTTCTCCACAGCAGTCATGATTTTATAGACCTCTGTCATATCCCTCCCTTAACCGTCTCTTTTCCAAGCTGAAAAGTCCCAGTCTTATTAATCTCTCCTCATATGGAAGCTGTTCCATATCCCTAATCATTTTTGTTGCCCTTTTCTGAACCTTTTCCAATTCCAATATATCTTTTTTGAGATGGGGCGACCACATCTGCACGCAGTATTCAAGATGTGGGAGTACTATGGATTTATATAGAAGCAATATGATATTTTCTGTCTTATTTATCTATCTATCCCTTTCTTAATGATACCCAACATTCTGTTCGTTTTTTTGACTGCCACTGCACATTGAGTGGATGTTTTCAGAGAACTGTCCACAATGATTCCAGGGTCTCTTTCTTGAGTGGTAACAGCTAATTTAGACCCCATCATTTCATATGTATAGCTGGGATTATGTTTGCCAATGTTCGTTACTTTGCATTTATCAACATTGAATTTCCTCTGCCATTTTGCTGCCCAGTCACCCAGTTTGAGAGATCCTTTTGTAGCTCTTCACAGTCTCCTTGCGACTTAACTATCTTAAATAGTTTTGTATCATCTGCAAATTTTGCCACCTCACCTTTTACCCGTTTTTCCAGATTGTTTATGAATATGTTGAATAGAACTGGTACCAGTACAGACCCCTGGGGAACACCACTGTTTATCTCTCTCCATTTTGAAAACTGACCATTTATTCCTACCCTTTGTTTCCTATCTTTTAACCAGTTACTAGTCCATGAGAGGACTTTCCCTCTTATGCCATGACTGCTTACTTTGCTTAAGAGCCTTTGGTGAGGGACCTTGTCAAAGGCTTTCTGAAAATCTAAGTACAATATATCCACTGGATCCCCCTTGTCCACATGCTTGTTGACCCCCTCAAAGATTTCTAATAGATTGGCGAGGCATGATTTACCATTCCAAAAAAACATGTTAACTCTTCCCCAACAAATTATGTTCATCTATGTGTCTGACAATATTGTTCTTTACTATAGTTTCAACCAGTTTGCCCATTACTGAAGTCAGGCTTACCGGCCTGTAATTGTCGGGATCACCTCTGGAGCCCTTTTAAAAATTGGCGTCACATTAGCTATCCTCCAGTCACTTGGTACAGAAACTGATTTAAATGATAGGTTACAAACTACAGTTAGTAGTTCTGCAATTTCACATTTGAGTTCCTTTAGAACTCTTGGGTGAATGTCATCTGGCCCTGGTGACTTATTACTGTTTAGTTTATCAGTTTGTTCCAAAACCTCCCCATATGACCCCTCAATCTGGGACAGTTCCTCAGATTTGTCACCTAAAAAGAATGGCTCAGGTTTGGGAATCTCCCTCACATCCTCAGCCGTGAAAACCGATGCAAAGAATTAATTTAGTTTCTCCGCAATGGCCTTATCATCCTTGAGTGCTCCTTTAGCCTCTCAATCGTCCAGTGGCCCAACTGATTGTTTAGCAGACTTCCTGCTTCTGAGGTACTTAAACATTTTTTTGCTATTACTTTGCGAGTCTTTGGCTAGCTGTTCTTCAAATTTTTTTCTGGCCTTCCTAATTATATTTTTATACTTCATCTTCCAGCGTTTATGCTCCTTTCTGTTTTCCTCACTAGGATTTAACTTCTACTTTTTAAAGGATGCCTTTTTGCCTTTCACTGCTTCTTTTACTTTGTTGTTTAGCCACGGTGGCACTTCTTTGGTTCTCTTACTGTGTTTTTAAATTTGCTCATATATAAGTATCCCCAGAATGAGATGTGTCTCTGAAGCTTAGCCAGCCTTATCCCACCCCTGAGCCATGTCCCCGGCAAACTTTCTGGCTCCCTTTGCTCCATCCCCCAGCACAGTTCAGAATCCCTCCTGCGTTGACCTGTCTTTCTGCTGCTAGTTCCTCCCTCTCTCTAGCCTCAACAAGCTCCTGACAGACACCTGGCCTTCCCACCATGACACGTCCTCATTGGGGCCCAGACAGTGGAAGAACTCAGTGAAGGTGCACCAAGACTAAGCTGTTGAGCATTTAATAAATCCACTGGACTTCTAGCTTTAGGCCAAGTGCGGTAGAAAGATGCATGTTGCTCTTCATCTGATGATGTTCTGGCTACCACAAACGAACAATAGGCTACCAAAAATGCTGGGAGGTTGGGTGAAACTTCACTGAAGCTGGTGGAAGTAACCGAGGCCCTTCGTTCAGAGTAAATGTAAGAAACAATGAAGCTACTTTATGGAACCAGGTTTCTGAAACAATAGGAGCCACCACCTAAACTAAAGCACAGGCAAGTGGCAAGGCTTAAATAGAAGCTGAGCCATGTGGCCCAAGGGGTTTCCCCTAGAGACTGACATAGTGAATGCAGGGGTTGGGGCATTGGTTGGTGCAGGGGTGTGTGTGTGTGAGAGAGAGAGAGAGAGAGAAACAACCAACAGAAACGTACAGAAGGACCAAAGAAGCTCCAGACACAACCAGAGAAGCCCTGGTAGCAAGACCAAGAGAAAAAGCTAAGGGAGAGCTTTTGGGCTGAGTGCTGACTGAAAGAGGCTCGTAACTGTGTCCTGCTGTTTGATTCTTGCTGTGTTCAGGGAAACGGGACGTTGTACATAAACAGGATTGCATCAAAAAAGCACCTGACTCCATCAGCAGTTTCTCCTCCTAATGGAAATAACCAACTAGACCCTGAAAACTAGCTAACCGGGGCTACTCAAATAAGTTGAGTTGAAAAGAGGTAACACCATACATGCACCAATTTACTACTAGATGTCTCCATTGCACCCATCCCAGCCACTCTTTGTGATGTGTCTACTAGAACTTGATGGAACGTTTTTGACAAAATGTAGCTGTTTCCATAAAGCTTTTGTCAGAGGCAGCGGGTGAGACTTATGTTTTACAGCTGTGGTTTTCAAACTTTTTTCTTTTGTGGACTCCTACAAAATTTCATATGGAGGTTTCAACCAGAAAATGGACACTTTGGCACCATTCCAAGTGGAGACCAACTTTCAAACCTCGAAAGTTGCTGCAAAAGAGAATTGTCATCCTCCTGCTATCTCTCGTGTCTAAATTTTTGGAATTAACATTTGATGTACTGATGGTGCGTAGACTGTGATGGATGCAAACCAGGCAGGTGAATAATACATTACGTTGTCAGCAGGCATGAAAACACAGGCGAATCAAAATCAGCCTGCCTTTGCCCAGAAAGAACCTACGAAGAGGGAATGCACCAATGAGTAATGAGCCAAATTCTGTGCTGATTTATACGCAGCTGAAGTTAACAGGAAGTCAGCAACTGTAAATCTGCACAGAATTAGCATTAGGTCACCTCAGACATGGCTGGACGTTTTAAATAATGAGCCACAAACTGGGACGCGAAGATAAAAAAATCCATCTTCTTTAGAAACTTCTCACTGTTTCAGGCTGATCTGGGGTTAGGTTGCTGGCCTAGAAGCTGGAAGACCTAGAAGCAAGTCTCTGCTGTGGGGAGGCTTTGGATCAGGCACTTAGGATCTCCGGGTCTCAATTCTCTATTTGTTCAATGGGGATAACGGCACTGCCCTGCCCCCCAGGGGTGCTGTGAGGTTAAATCATTACAGATTGTGAGGTGCTCAGAGACTACAATGATAGGAGCTGGATAAGTCCCTTAAACAGATAGTATTTCTCGCTCCAAATATTCCAGGAGCTCCTTTTGGGTCAGGCTTTTCAATGACCGCTTTCCTTGAATGAGCAGTTCTGTTGACGTCCAGGGAGATTCCTCTGGGTTAGCAAAACAGGCAAGAGCTTGGGATTTCCAATGGAACCTAAGGAAGTGAGGCAGCCAATCGGGTTTGGGCACTTAACTGCTTTGAACGTTCCAAGCTATACCTCTTAAGGTAGGTCTCCATTTATGGTGGTGTGTAGAGGACACACACTGCATGCCCAGCTAGCACGGGTATAAACAGCAGTGTAGATGGTGAAGCACTGTGTAGGTGAGTACAGATACGCCAGAAGAACCCTAGGGTTTTGGCCAAAAGAGTTAGGGGACTTGTAAGGAACCTGAATCTCCCCACATGAGTGGTAGATTATTGAGATAACAGCCCATCGAAGGGTTTATCCTACTTGTGGACTGGTCAACAGTGGAACACATCCCGTTCCCTTACTCAGGTGAGTAGCCCCAGTGAAGACAGAGTGATCACTTGCACAAGGAAGGAGAAGCAGGAGTTGGCCACCATGCTATGCTTGCAAGCACATGTCTTAGGAATCGAGTGCATTGAAAAATTGATTTGCCTTGACTTAGTTGGTTGAGATGGGCTCTAGGTTCTCCTGTAGGGTTCAGTAAAACTACAACTTGTCCAGTCCACCCTCAGATTTCACAGTGCGTTTGTGATCTCGTTGGAGAACCTCACCTTAAAACTCCAGTGGAGGCATAGCCTGGATGTGCACGAGACATTCATTTTGCACATACACTGAATGCCAGACTGGCCCGTGGCTGCACTTTACATTTCCACCACTTTACTCCTTACACTTATTTTCCAGTACACTTAAATCATGCATGGTAAGTTACACCACTGTTTAAAGTCCTTGATTAATTTGCTCCTCCCTCTCCCCCGCCCATATGTGTTCCTCTTCCTCAGACAACAGCTTCATTTTAGTCCTTTTTACACGCTGTGACTGGAAAAAAAAAAGACAATAATAATTTCCAGTCAGAATACGATGAATCACATCTACTGTCAGTAAAATAAATATGCAGCAACCGAGAAAATACACATGGTGACTGGGGACAAATGAAGCACCCAGTATGAAAAATAAAACCCTTGAGAATCTTACTCTTAATGCAACAGATGTAAAGTACTGCACTGAAATAAGACACTAAGATATGAGGAACAGAATACAAGAGGTGGATATAAAGATTTCATTTTGGTTAATTAGGAACATCAAAACTTTTGTCGTTTGGCAACTATCTTTTTTACCGCAGTGGAAGCGGAAAGGTCTTTTCACGTCGTTAATGGACAGTAGCTTTCAGAGGTTCCAGCATAACGAGGAGAACATAATCTGAATTCACAAAGAAAATTAAACTAAAAAAAAAAAGTGCCAAGGTTGATAACAATGTTATACATTTTATTTCTGGGAATGTGCCCATTCTAAAAATGCAAATTTACTGGAGATCTTCCCCGCTGATTGGCTAATGCACAATAAGACTACAGACAGTTTTAATGAACCCTCTCCCCCTTAGAAAATGTCAAGTTAGCTTTGAGAAAAAAGGTCACATTTGAAAGCGATTGCTTATCTCTTGGTGACATTCATGTCCAGCAACGAGCAGAACACACTCGCTATAACGAGCTGCTAATGTCGGGGCGGGGGGGGGGTCCGTAGACGAGCGCTGTGGGGAGACATGGTGCAATATGTAATACATACGCTGAGCTGCAGCACATTGGTAATGGGAGGGGAGGGAGGTGGACACCGTACATCTGAAACAGCAGTAGAACTGGCCTATTCTTTCTCTTGGTGAAGAAAACAGTGGTGCTCTCACCCTCCGACAGCTTGTCATGGGACCTCCGCCGCTCAAACAGCGCCCAGCGATGGCAGGCTGCATTCATCCAGGCCAGAGTGGTTTGCAGGAGGGCTTGAGCACAAGGAGAGTGTGTGCTTTGCATCCCCCTCAGAGTGGCACCTCCTTGCCCATGGCTTTTCCCTGCAGACCTGCCAGTAAATTGCTGGCAGCTAAGGCGGCCATGGCGTTCCGGGTAGCGACCGTAGCGCTGGCGATGTGGGGGAGAATAACTGCAAAGAGAAAGGGAACAAAGTCCTGAGAGATCATTTCTTGGTTCTGGAACCTGCAATAGCAATCAAAGGGCCCCGGCCCACTGTGAATTTCACCCTTTCATCAGCGTTCATCACCCACTGTGCAGATATCCCCTGACAACGTTTGCCCTGGCCATGGGAGACAATCGGTTCCTGGGACAGACCGCACTCAGCTCTGAGCCATAGTCCAATGAAGACACTAGGATTGTATTGACTCTGGATCTTGTTAGGGCCCTCACCTGCACCTCTGCACTTTGGGTGGGAATACAACAGGCAGGGATGCTGCCTAGCTAAAATGATCCCAGGAGGACATTTAAGGACAGGAGGGGGGGAAGTACAGATTGTTTGACGGAATGGGATTCTTCACAGAGGCCTTTTCGCCCCTTGTAATTTAGCCAGATTTGCTAGGGGGACTGCAAGCCCGGAGGATTGAAAGGGCACTGCCAGGAATGGCCGGCTTAAGACTAAACCTATGAGCTGCATTTTGTCTGCATGCGAGTCACATCGACTCTCCGCTCTGCCTGCCTGCTCCATCCGTGTGAGCTGGCAGGGGATTGAAATTTACACGAATTCTGCAGGGGTTTAAAGAGATTTTTAAAGTTAAGATGATGTTTTAGTCAAATCCTGCCAGATTCTTATAAATGTCACTCCCCTGGTGGCTCATAAGACCAGAACAGGCAAAGCGACCAGACGGATAAGAACATAAGAATGGCCCTACTGGATCAGACCAAAGGTCCATCTAGCCCAGTATCCTGTCTTCCAATGGTGGCCAGTGCCAGGTGCCCCAGAGGGAATGAACAGAACAGGTAATCATCAAGTGATCCATCCCCTGTCGCCCATTCCCAGCTTCTGGCAAACAGAGGCTAGGGACACCATCCCTGCCCATCCTGGGTAATAGCCGTCAATGGATGTATCCTCCATGAACTTATCTAGTTCTTTTTTTGAACCCTGTTATGGTCTTGGCCTTCACAACATCCTCTGGCAAGGAGTTCCACAAGTTGACCTTGTGTTGTGTGAAGAAATACTTCCTTTTATTTGTTTTAAACCTGCTGCCTATTAATTTCATTTGGTGACCCCGTAGTTCTTGTGTTATGAGAAGTAGTAAACAACACTTCCTTATCTACTTTCTCTACACCAGTCATGATTTTATAGACCTCAATCATAACTCCCCTTAGCCGTCTCTCTTCCAAGCTGAAAAGTCCCAGTCTTATTAATCTCTCCTCATACAGAAGCCGTTCCATACCGCTAATCATTTTTGTTGCCCTTTTCTGAATCTTTTCCAATTCCAGTATATCTTTTTTGAGATGGGGTGACCACATCTGCACACAGTATTCAATATGTGGGTGTACCATGGATTTATACAGAGGCAACATGATATTTTCTGTCTTATTATCTCTCCCTTTCTCAATTATTCCCAGCATTCTGTTCACTTTTTTGACTGATGCTGCACCTTGAGTGGATGTTTTCAGAGAACTGTCCACAATGACTCCAAGGTCTCTTTCTTGAGTGGTAACAGCTAATTTAGACCCCATTGTTTTATATGTATAGTTGGGATTATGCTTTCCAATGTGCATTACTTTGCATTTATCAACATTAAATTTCCTCTGCCATTTTGTTGCCCAGTCACCCAATTTTTCGAGATCCTTTTGTAGCTCTTCACAGTCTGCCTGGGTCTTAACTATCTTTAGTAATTTTGTATCATCTGCAAATTTTGCCATCTCACGGTATACCCCTTTTTCCAGATCATTTACGAATACGTTGAATAGGACTGGTCCCAGAACAGGCCCCTGAGGGACACCACTATTTACTTCTCTGCATTCTGAAAACTGATCATTTATACACACCCTTTGTTTCCTATCTTTTAACCAGTTACCAATCCATGAGAGCACCTTCCCTCTTATCCCATGGCAGCTTACTTTGCATAAGAGCCTTTGGTGAGGGACCTTGTCAAAAGCTTTCTGAAAATCTAAGTACACTATATCCACTGGATCCCCTTGGTCCACCTGCTTGTTGACCCCCTCAAAGAATTCTAGTAGATTGGTGGGGCATGATTTCCCTTTACTAAAACCATTTTGATTCTTCCTCAACAAATTATGTTCATCTATATGTCTGACAATATTGTTCTTTATTATAGTTTCAGCCAGTTTGTCCGATTCTGAAGTCAGGCTTACCGGCCTGTAATTGCCAGGATCACCTCTGGGGCCCCTTTTTAAAAATTGGCATCACATTAGCTATCCTCCAGTCATCTGGTACAGAAGCTGATTTGAATGATAGGTTACAGACTACAGTTAGTAGTTCTGCAATTTCACATTTGAGTTTCTTCAGAACTCTTGGGTGAGTGCCATCTGGCCCTGGTGACTTATACTGTTTAGTTTATCAATTTGTTCCAAAACCTCCCCTAATGATATCTCAATCTGAGACAGTTCCTCAGATCTGTCACCTAAAAAGAATGGCTCAGTTTCGGGAATCTCCCTCACATCCTCAGCCGTGAAGACTGATGCAAAGAAGTCATTTAGTTTCTCCACAATGGCCTTATTGTCCTTGAGTGCTCCTTTGGCACCTTGATCATCCAGTGGCCCCTCTGGTTGTTTAGCAGGCTTCCTGCTTCTGAGGTACTTAACATTTTTTTTGCTATGGGTGGCATAACATGCACAGGGATGTCCCTGGGCCGCAGGCAGGTACATGCGCCGGTCGGTCTGCACATGAGCCTGGCTCCTGGGGGTGCGCAGGGGAAGTTGACGGCGTGTGTGTTTATTTGTAATGCTCTTGGAAAGTTGCAGCCTAGGAGAATGCGTGTCTCTCTTTAGCTACTGTCATGCCAGCAAAGGGCCCCTTTTCAGCTGGGGAGAGCTTTGAGTGAGTTCCGTGGCTCAGCCACTCCTTGGGCTCACTTCTGGAACGATCAGTGAAGGTGCAAACTACTGCTAATTGTTGTTATTAGTTGTATTACTGTAGAGCCTAGGAGCCTAGCCGCAGACCAGGGCCCCATGGTGCTAGGCGCTGTACAAAGACAGGACAAAAAGACAGCCTCTGCCCCAAGGAGCTGACACCTGGCGGTTTGGTATGACGTGAAGCTCCATCCCCTGGACAGGGCAAAACTATTGCGCTTCTTCTGCACAGGCCATCTGACTGTCACCATGTGGTAGTGACTACAGAGCTGGGCTGGTTGAAAATTGGCAACCAAGGCCCTGCCCTTTTAGACATGAATTTACGCCTCCTGTAGACACAGTTCAACACCTTTAAAGGTGGGTTGACGACAGCCAGTTAATGCTATTTGTCACCCGGGATCTACAGACCTGCCTGGCACAGGTCCCGGGGCTCTGTATCCCACTGCCAGTCCAGCCCCCAGCCCCCTGAATGTTAGCAGACGGGGCAGTAGCTGCCATCGCTGTAGGTAAGTTCATATTCCCTGCTAACACGGCATTTCCAGTCTCGCGTATCTCACTCAGAACTTACTGAAGCTTCTGGCTTTGGGGCTACTTTAGGGTTAGTCTCTTCTTGCATGGGATTTTTTTGTTTTGGTCATTTGAGCAAACACAGTTCAGCCATTTAAGGAGGGGAGTAAAGCGCACTCAGGGGAGGAGGCAGGGCCGGGGCGAGGATTTAGGGAAGGGGGTCCAATGGGGCAGGGAGGGGGCGGAGTTGGAGCAGGGACTTTGGGGAAGGTGTTGGAATGGGGGTGGGGAAGGGGTGGAGTTGGGGTGGAGTTGGGGGGGGCGTGAGCAAATACTGCCCCCTCCCCGTGGAGTGTCCTCTTTTTTGAATGTTCAAATATGGTAACCCTAAATAAATTCACTGACGCTACTGTGGGGATGGCATGGGAGAGCTATATCACAGATAGTTAAGTCAGCCTCCTTGTGTGGATGCATTAACAATGTGCTATGCGAGTTGTCAAATAAATGTAACAGCCTAGAGCTTTAGATACACATTTTGTAGTGTTATGTATTACTCTGAGTATGCCAGACAAGTGAGGCCCATGGAAATACACAGCAAGCCATATTTACACATCCAGTATCTGTCTTAGAGTAAGGGTGAAAATGTATTGGCACATCTAAGCCACCAAATTTGTAGTTAACTGCTTCCTTCCCTGATTTGCCCCTAAAGGACTTTCACTTCTGCTGATTGAAAAGAAAATACACAGAACACTAGTACTGACCAAATTACTAAATTAGAGGGAAGGTACCACATCAAGTCAAAGGATCAAATCCTCATGTGATGTAATTACCTGAGGATCTGACCCTAAGTCAGTACTGATTTACTGGCCCTTTATGACAATGAAATTAGTGGTCATAGAAAAATAATGGGGGAAATGATAAGATTTTCAAGGGTGTATATAGCACAGAAATTTTGTATGACGTTGTACTACTTAAGAAATAAGGTGATCATGTAAGTCAAGGCTGGTTTAATGCATACACTCCGGGGTGGAGTTAAGGTTGTGTCTTTATCCAGGCACCTTAGTGTAAACTGGTGTAACCTTTACCCAGGCACCTTGGTGTAAACTTTATCCAGACACCTTGGTGTAAACTGGTGTAACCTTTACCCAGGCACCTTGTGACGACAGTGGCGTTATACTGATTTACACCAGCTGAGGGTCTGACCAATTATTTTTTATTCCAGGACACACGTCTTTCAAAGGAGGTTCATTGATATGCAGAATCCCCAGGATTGTAAAGACCATCGGAAAAACAAACACACAGAAATGAACCCCTGAGCTGGCTGGAAACTGGAATTTCTATTTCGTGGGAACTTTTGACATGTTGACATTTGATTTCATTCTGAATTGGTCAAAATTTAGAAATTCTGCCACAGAACAGAAATTTAAAAAAAAAACATGTTAATTTGGAAACATCCAAACATTTTGTTTTAATAGGTTTCAGAGGAGCAGCCGTGTTAGTTTGTATCCACAAAAAGAAAAGGAGGACTTGTGGTGCCTTAGAGACAAATTTATTTGAGCATAAGCTTTTGTGAGCTACAGCTCACTTCATCAGATGCTTTAGCTCCCGAAAGCTCATGCTCAAATAAATTTGTTAGTCTCTAAGGTGCCACAAGTCCTCCTGTTCTTTTTGTTTTGATAGTGTCAAACCATTATACTATAACACAGAATATTAATTAGTGTGTATAGTAGTAATTATGAGCTACGAATCCAATATAATATTATAATTGTTATTTTAATATAATATAAAAGTTTCACTGAAATGGATCAAAATGATAAGGTCAAAATGAAACATTTTGACCGTGTTGGAATGAAACATTTCGATCATACTGAAATGAAATGAAAAAAGTCTGAGTGATTACTGTCAACTTCCTCCTGTCAAACATGTTGTCAAAATTCACACGCTCCCCCGAAACATTTTCATACCCATGCAGCTGCCTTTTCCGAAGGAATACTGCTCCATCGGAACAGGTACACACCAGCGCAAGTAGAGGCTGCCTGGTCTAGAAATCAGGCCACAGGTTTAAATTCCCAAATCACCATTTTCCGCCCTGCTCTTCAGGTGACGGGGGCAGCTTCCAACACAGACTCACCACACGTTTTAAGTTTAAAAAGAGGATGATCCGTGGGCAGAGGCTCAGGCTCCGTGACATCCAGACCAGCAGCTGCAATCTGACCATTGACCAATGCCTGGTACAGGTCTTCCTGGTTCACTACACCGCCTCTTTTGGGAAAAGAAAAACAAAGTATCCATCAACTTCTGGACATCTCTGTGTAGCTGTTCTCGCAGCTAAGAGCCTTAGTTATCTGGTGAAAGCTTTAACACCGGGGTTGGATAAAGTTGGAGTGCACAGCAGTCTGATCTTAAAGGCTGCTTTATAATAAATTCTGAGGCCAGGGGCTTACAGTTCTGTCCTCCGGCACGATTCATACAGTATTGTGTGTGGGATCAGCTTATCTAATGAGACCGAATCCGCTGGATGGGATTTGCCTGTGTCATGATACATCTCCCACAATCAGCGTGTTGTCGGATTACACCAACGGAAGCCTTTTATTTTTAATAATTGTTTGAAAGTTGATTTTATTTTATTGAGCTGGGATGCTGTTAGAGTTGGGAATATAAATCTTGTCTCCCTCTGTGCCCACAGAAGGATTTGTGTCAGAAGTTTATGTTCTCCAGTGTGACATCTGTGTGTTTATCTTGCTGAGCCTTGGCTCTAAGACGTTTCTTTCCCTCCTGTCCTACCTCACCTGCTGGTGTTGATAAAGATGGCAGTATCCTTCATTCGGGAGAAAAGACTGTTGCCACAGATGCCCTTTGTTTCAGGAGTTAAGGCACAGCACACAACGATGAAGTCCGAATGCCGAGCCAATTCATCCAGTGGTACTATTCAGAACAAAGCAGAAAGGCTGCAGAGATTTTTTAAAAAGGCACATACTATTGGAAATAGCTTGGATTTATCTTTGCACTGAGTTGACCAGAGTCCACAGATAACAGACTGACCTAGGAAGAGGTTTCTGACCAGAGGAGCGAGGCTCTGGAACAGCCTTCCAATGGGAGCGGTGGGGGCAGACAACCAAACTAGTTTTAAGCTGGAGCTTGATACGTTTGTAAACGGGATGATATACGGGGTTGCCAGTGATAGCAGGGACTGGACTTGATGTCCCAGTAGGTCCCTTCTAGTCCTATGACCCTAGTCTGAATATTCTTGGGGGCCCAAAATATTTTATGTTTACTGTAAATTCATGTAAACAATTTCCGCCAAGTGGAACTGGTTAGTTCAGTTTAAGATAGCTATTGACATCCTCCGAGTTCCATAGGCCTGCAGCTGTCTGACGAGCCCTCCCCATCTGCATTCAGCGCACGTAGAGGCAGATTAGGGGTTTGTTGGGCCCTGGGCCAGAGCACGTGGGGGCTCCTCCCCACCCCTTCGGCCTGCAGTCTCCCCCGCTCCTTCCCCGGTGGAGGCAGCTGATCAGAGTTCAAAATGCCCAGCTGAGAATGGGCATGATGGCTACTCTGGGAGACGTACCTCGAGGCACAGAGCAAGGTACACCAATGAAACGCATTAAAAGTACATTTGTAGAAAGAGCCATTTTAGATTCTGCAGTCACGGCTGTTGGGGGCAAACTCTTTCTGTGTGTATTGTCTGGATAATACGGCATGGGGGTGATTGATCACATTTAATTACATCTGTGCTCAGTGACTTCCCTGGGCTTTGAATCAACCATGTCATTTGCAATATGCTGATGTAACGGGCTACCCCTTGGAAATGATACAAAAAGGCTTGTGGCTAAACAAGTAGGAAGGAAAAGCTTTTTAACAAAACTGCTTAACCAATCTGTTTCTCTGGACTTAAGGGATGTCACCAGCTCTCCTGGTTTGATTTTGAGTCTCACAAAATTGAGTATCTTCTTAAAGCCCCAGCTCCTGGAGTCATGTGTTTCCATGAGAATCTCAGCTTTCACTTAAAAATTTTACAAAAAGCATATTTCTGGGTCTCACGATTGCAGAAAAACATGAAAAGGTGAGACCCTTACAGGCTCAGAAACCACAACGCAAATAAAAAGAATCCATTACTTATGATTTTTAAAATCTCACCATTTCTATGCCAATCTCATATTTTCTGGGGGGGAGGCCTGGCCTTTAAATGGGGGTGTTCTGCAAGGATGGCTGGGGGAACCTCAGTCTGCCTCTATTTTTAATCTAAAGTCTCCACTTCACAGCCCATACACAGGCAAGGCAGGAAGCTCCCTAGCTGGGTAGTTAGGAAAACAGGCTTTCCGGCAGTTCAGCCTTTGCTGAGGTGGGATTCCAGCTGGATTTCTCCACAGTCTGAAAAACGCTCTGTTCCATCTTACCAAACTCGGCCGGGATTTTGGTGGCCATGTCAGGTCTCGGGCCAGTGTCGGCATATAGGAATCTCTTGACTCCAAATGGCTTTAACCGGGCCATGACAGCTGCTCCTATAAAGTGGGAATTACACCCATGAGTTCCACCTTATTGCTGCTCATCTGCTGTGCAAATCCTCCCCCTCTGCAGGAGAAACAGTGTGTAGGGGGCTGAGGTGAGTTTCCTTTACATCTTCACATTGTGGAGAGGGACTTTCCAGCCACATGGGATAAGGTGTCCACCTCCCTACACCTGTGAGGGGTCCCCAAAATCTGCATGGATCTCAGGACATCCATGACAGGTTTCAGAGTAGCGGCCATATTTGTCTGTATTCACAAAAAGAAAAGGAGGACTTGTGGCACCTTGGAGACTAACCAATTTATTTGAGCATAAGCTTTCGTGAGCTACAGCTCACTTCCTCGGATGCATTCAGTGGAAAATAGAGTGGGGAGATTTATATACACAGAGAACATGAAACAATGGGTGTTACCATACACACTGTAAGGAGAGTGATCACTTAAGATGAGCTAATACCAGCAGGAGAGCAGGGGGACGGGGGGAAGAAAACCTTTTGTAGTGATAATCAAGGTGGGCCATTCCATGGAGGCCCATGGCAGCAGTCCCCATGAAACACCACCCCTCAGCCCACTCTCTAGGGAAGAGGGACTTGCTGAGTGGAGAGGCCACTGTAGAACGACCGGGTCAGAGTTACGGAGTACAGGGGAATAATCTGTTCAGTGTTGAGATGGGATGATGCCCTTAAGAACAGGCATCCACATCCCAGTCTGGGACCTCTTCTTGCCCGAGTGTTTCAGCCATGGGGTTTCTGTGGGACTGGTGGGAGATGAGAGCCTGCTGCTGAGCCCCTACCATAACTTCCAGCCCAAGCGCACCTGGTCTAGGTTGCTTCTGTTTGCCAAGAACACCTCCTGTGTCTTGTTTAGTAACCAAATGGATTTGGTTAGTGCAGTTATTAAATAGTCTAGCAAGTAACCATGCCCCAGAAAGTGCATCCATTGTCCTTCTTTGTTGTGGTGACGGTAAAGAAACCTAATATCAATAGGCTTTCTTCCTCCAAGCACTTTACAAACACCAACTCATTCTCATGCTAACCTAATGGGGTGCATAAACAAACAGGATTAGGTCTGCTCTCCACAGTCCAGATGGGGAAACTGAGGCAAAAGGCTACATTTTTAAACCTAGGGACAGAACTCCATATTTAGGTACCTAAAAAGTGGCCCAATTTCAGAGGTGCTGATCCCCTGCTAATCCAGTTGATGCCAATGTGCAAATACAGCAAATACTTTTATTGTAATCCTAACCTGCTCTACACTGTGCCGTGAGGGCAAAATTCTCCCCTGTGGATTTAATAGGGCTTAAGTGGAAAGTAGTGGTTTTTGAAAGGATTGTAGCAGACCAAGAGATGAAATAGCCACAGAAGGCTAAAAGGCTTTCCACGGCCCAACACTTTATGTTGTCACTTAGATGCAGAGCTGAGTGAATAATTGACGTTTTGCTTGGGGGACAGGAGAGCTGAAAAAAAAATTGGCTTGTTTCAAACCACAACTGAATTTTTTCAGTTTTTCTCATTGTGGGAGAAAAAAAAAACCCTGAAAAAATTAGTTTGGGGGGTCACCAAAACATTTTATTTGACCTGAAACAATTTTTTACCAGTTTTTCATTTCATTTTGGGTCATTTTCAGGTGCTTTGAATCTTCCTTTTTCGTTGTTTTTAATTAGCTAAGTTTCCAAATGAAACATTGCTTCAAACGAAAAGTCTAAATGTTTAGTTTCAAAATGGCCAAAATGGACCATTTCAATTTTTTCAGGGAAAAAAAATAATCAATTTTTGGTTAAAACTATTTGCCAAATTTGACCAGAATTCTCAAGTAGTTTCAGGGCCTCGCAAAAATGCATTTTCTGTGGCAAATTTATTATTTGCCAAGCAAATTTTGCCCAGCTCTAATGACAAATGTGCAAAGTGTAGAATGCTACATAAGAATTCTTTGTTTGTTTACACCAGCGGTAGGGACATTGCACAGGTATAAACGAGGTCTTACGGTGCAAGGTAGTAGACTATCAGACCTATGCAAAATCAGTGCTTGAAATCTAGATCTGTCCACCATTGTAGCATTAGAACAAGCAACAAAATGGAAGCACTTAATGGTGTTTTTATTAGAACTGAGCCAAAAAGGAAAATTATTCATGAAACGTTTTTTCAACGTGTTTCCTCCTTTCTCAAACTCCAAAAAATTTTGCCCAGCTCTGTAGACAGCCAAAACATTGGAGGAGAGGAATTTTGCAAAATTGGTCAACTTTTTAAAAACTGGCAAATTCTAAAATGGTGGCCAGATCTACTCTTTTAAATCTTAACTGATATAAAAACAGAAATGTAAAAAAAAGCAACCTCATGATTTTTTAAATTGCTGACACTTTTCAAAATTACTCAGGGTTTGAGTCTAACTCTGGTTGATTTTTGTGTGTGTCTTTTCATCAATTTGATTTTTTAGCAAAAGAAATCAAAATACAGACCATTTTGGCCAGCTCTGTATGAAAACGGATTTTGCAACTTACCTATTCTTCCAAGTCCTAGAATCCCCACAGTGCTGCCTGTCAGACCATAGCCACACATCCACAGAGGCTTCCAGGTTCCCCAGCCACCGCTGTAAAATAACACTGGAAGCTATTTCAGGCATACACAGGACAGCATCAACCCTTCCCCTGCACTTTGGAATGTGGAGACTGTTTCTGTTTAGCTCTGGTCGATCATTTAACAGGAATTGCCAGCCTGGATCAGACCAAGGCTTGAACTAGGCCAGTAGTCTTGTCTCCAACACTGGCCAGGAGGAAGTTGCAAGAATCCTCATTAATTAGTGGGTGATTTTTGCTTTGAGCGATAATGGTTTATATCCCCCACAAATCTTAGACTAGCCATTGTTGAGAGACAAGGTGGGGGAGCTGACATCTTTTATTGGACCAACCTCTACTGGCGAGAGAGACAAGCGTTCTAGCTTACACAGAGCTCTTCAGCTCAAAGCTATTCCCTCCCCCACCTTGTCTCGCTAAGATCCTGGGACTGACACAGCTACAACTGCACAGCATACATGATGAACTCTGAACATTCCTGTTCTCCGTGTACATTGTGTGAATCCCGTGCAGCTGCATCTTGCACTGCTTGTGTATTCAAAGGAGCTGGATCAAAGCTAGCTTGGGTATGTGCACACACACATCTGACTGCAGTGCAGTCATACCCAGAGGCTATATTTTCTCTTCTCAGGACATGTGAAGTATCATCTATAAAAATCCTAACCACAGAGAGGAGAATATGCTCCTAAAATACTTGTCCAACACCCCATCTTTTGGTTGTTTACTCACCAACACATTGGTCTTTCACTTCCTGCCGACAAACTCGACATAAACAGTTTTCACTAGGTAGTTTGAATAAAGACAAAAAAAATTTACTTCTTAGCTTCATCCACAGCTTCTAACAGTCGACGGGAAGTTGCCAGAAGAAGAGCAACTGTGAGTTCAGCAACTGCTTCAGTCAATACGTCTGGTGTGTATCCTAACCTGATTCCTCTGCATCCAAAGATACAAATAACAAATACTCCGTTACATTACTGGAATCTTCTCAATGTAGGAATGGTCACACCTGAACTGTTTCTAGACCATTAGGATATGAAGATTATGCCACATGTCCTCAGAAATAAATTTTTCTCTAGACTTACAGGAAGGGCTTGGATTGAAGCTATGATTAGAGCTGTGCGAAAGTTCAGTATGAAAACCCAGCACATCTGGTTGGGGGTTCGTGATGGACGGGAAACTCGCTGAAAGTAGCTGAGCCTCTACAAAAATATTTTGGTGAACTTTGAGACCACCACTGAGCCAAATTTTGCTATTCCCCACTCCCAGGACATACTTGAGACATCTCCAGGGGTCCGATTATCAGAGAGCGAGCATGCAACATCTTCTGAAAACTGGTCCCTCCCCCCGCAACGTGTCAAGACAGATACCCAAAATCATTAGCCGCTTCTGAAAATGGAGATCTTTCTAGTCATTCCACCTGAGAAGGAGATTTCGGGGTTTAAATATAACAGCACTGGGGTGAGGCATCTATTGACTCCTATTGACTCTGTTTCAGGAATTGGGTTTTTCCAGGGAATGTTGCAACTGCATTAAAAAAAAACCCTCAGAAGAACCACTTGAGGAGATTGGGGATTGGCATCATGGCAGGGGAAGAGGTGAGGCTAGGGTTTGCAGGCAGGGAAGGGGAGGGTGAGGTGGCTGACTGTGAAAGAGGAAGGATGAGTATGGTGCACAACAGATGCCATGTGGTTCTGTTTAAGATAATATGACTGTGGCTCGTTATTCATTTTTGTGCATTAGATAATCATACACTGAATGGTACTTTCTCTTGTAAAATGTGTTTATTGCTCCTGCAACGTGCTAGTCTATTTAACCTTCAAGAAGGGGGTGGAGCTCCTGGGGAACTAGCAATGACTTCCCCTTCAGGAGATGGGAGGGGCCACAAAGACACGGAGGTCACCTAAGTATGGGAGACAAGCAAATGTGAGGGGGCCAGATGTGGGACTGAGGTCCTTCATTCTACAAAGACCAGGGATTGCACGGCTGCTCTCCTTGCTACCTTCCTGTTGCTGACCTTGCTGAGCCATCAGCCTCCAAGCTCAGGACCTCCTTGGCTGTCTTGCTGACACGGCCAGGAAGGGTGGGGATGGTGACAGGAGTTAGTGCTAAATGAGGTGGTTTCCATGATGTCTGCTTTGGCATCATTTATAATCTTGGCACCATGCTCCTAACAAAGTAGGGAGTGACTGGGATTCCGATATAACAAGGGGCTACTGAGCCAGCCCAAGGGCAGTCAGACCTTTAAACTACCCCCATTTCCCTCCTTGTGGAGACGGGACTGCAGTGACTCTTACATTTGTACAGCTTGTGACTAAACCACACCAGCACATTTTACCTCTTCTTCAGCTCCTCCAGAGACATGTGATCATAGCCCACTGACATCGTGCTGACCACCTGCAGGCTGGGCCCTGTGGTGGGAGGAGAGAACAAACGGACTGACGTTCACATCCAGCCAGAGCTCAGCTCCATGCTCGGTGAGAGCTAGGCCAGATCTACTACTGCACAAATTCAATAGCTTGAGTCTTGAGAAGACTGAGGGGGGAATCTGATAACAGCAGAGGTGAAAGTAAGCCGGTACGCCCCGGTACGGTGTACCGGCAATAGCCAGTGTGCCGTACCGGGGTGGATTGGCTTCTCCAGGTGCAATTTAAAGGGCCTGCGGCACCCAGCAGCAGCTGGAGCCCTTGGCCCTTTAAATTGCTGCCAGAGCCCCGCTGCCGGAGCCCTGGGGTAGCGGCGGCTGAATCCTGGGCCCTTTAAATCGTCCCTGGAGCTCCGCTGCTGCTTCCCAGGACTCCGGCAGGCTCTGGGGACGATTTAAAGGGCCCGGAGTGGTAGTGGCGGCCGGAGCCCCGTCCCCGGAGCCCTGCTGCCGGAGCCCTGGGGAAGCGGCGGCGGGGCTCCGGGGACGATTTAAAGGGCCCAGGGCTCTGGCCACTGCTACTGCCCCGGGCCCTTTCAACCGCTGCCAGAGCCCCCTGCTGCCTTTACCCCGGGGCGGGGGAAGGAGGCACTTGCCGGTACAGGGTGGGCCGGGGCTGGCTCTGACCTCCCCCAGCCCCGCCCCTTCTGCCCGAGGCCCCACCCCTTCCGGGGGCCAGAGTCGGCCCCAGCCCAGCCCCATACCGGTAAGTCCCTAGACTTACTTTCACCCCTGAATAACAGTCTTCAGCTAGGATAAGGGCGGTTGCAAAGAGGACAGGGATCCATTGTTCTCCATGTCCACTGAAGGTAGGACAAGAAGCAATGGGCTTAATCTGCAACAAGGAAGATTTAGGTTAGATACCAGGAAAAACTTTCTAACTCTAAGGGTAGTTCAGCTCAAGAATAGTCCTACAAGGGAGGCTATAGTATCCCCATCACTGGCGGTTTTTAGGAACAGGTGGGACAAACACCCGTCAGGACTGGTCTAGGTTTACTTGGTCCAGACTCAGTGCAGGGGGCTGGACTTGATGACCTCTTGAGGTCCTTTCCAGCCCTATAGTTCTATTCTATAATTCTAGTAACCTTCTATTACTCCTCCTGGAAACCACTACAGCGACCACTGGGCAGGGCATGGGTGGCTTATCTTAGCTCCATCGCACCCTCCCAGTCCCCTCGCCACACCATGTTCTGCAGACTGCTGTCTCACATTCCCACTGCGTTACACCTGCATAGCGCTCCTCAGAGAGTGAGTTGCATCAGATTCTTGCAACTGAGGATAAAAGCCTACTACTGCTACTTGCTGATGAATTTACTCCTTTAGCTCATAGCATTGGATTACAACAGGATCCTCATTCTTTAAGTGATTTTAAAAATCATTCCACAGCTACCCAAACAGACCCCCGGCTACCCCCCAGCCAAATAGCAGGATGCATGCAGAACCCTAATTCAAATCAGGGAAATGGCCACTCAGAAAGAAATCTGCCTCATGGACTGATTCCAGTGTAGATGCCTCTTTATATGTACACACTGGGAAGCAGAAGGGCCCCTTCAATGAGCATTTCAGCTGCTGAGCCTCCACACCAGACCACCAATAATGTAAAATGGGGACATGTTAGCATGAGTGGACATGAATGCATGATAGTTTGGGGGCGTCTTGTTCGTCACTGCTCCCGCCATACAGACAATTTCAAAGTACTTCTGCAGTATTCAATGTCCTACCTGCCGCGTCCAGCACTTCGGCATCTATCTTCTCTGTCAGGAGGCAATACAAGCCTCGAATCCCAGCAACCTTCTCCAGGAGTTCTGAGCGTGGCACTGGCTCATCTGAATCCCACTGCTCAATGTTGCAGCTGCAAGAGGCGAGACGGGGAAATGTACCAGGGTTGTGGCTGTGGCTTGTAAAGCACACAGAGCTAGTTTGCTGCAGCCCTTACCAGGCAGCAAAGCCCCCTTGCCCTCCTGCTCAGATTGCAATGCCAGACAATGTCTGGCTAGTCTCCCAACTACCCCTGTGAGCAAGAGGCCAGAGGGAGACTGAGCAGAGACCTGGGTACTCACCTTGTTTGACAATCAGAGCAGCTTGCTGGGCCCGTGGGCTGGGCGAGGGTAACCTGCAGTGATATTTTACTCTAGAACATCCCAGATCCAGGGGATAGCAGAATGGCTCTTGGAGGCACAGTGTGTTCTCTGGCCTGCTCTTGGAACAGCGAGCTCTGTGCCAAGTTACGATGGAGCCCTTTAGAAAGAAGAACGTGTCCCAGAAGTGCTAAGTATCTGCTCAGTGTGTGCTATTTGTGAATTATTTTTTCAGGGCAAGCAATATCTAGTTCGCCAGACAGGTCAGAAAATGAAGAGAACCACTAAAATTAAAAGTCTGGGTTTATCGTATACCTAAAGTCTGGGTTTATCGTATACCTAAAGTCTGCACATGAGGAAATTTCAGAAGAGCTACCATTACCACTGCAGTGTTTGGTGTCAAATCTTGAATCGTCTCTAGCGAAAGGCTTCCTGTCATTGTACTGCAACCAGTTGTATGGTCCTCCTGGGACAATTGTCATCTCAGTTACCTGGATGTAAATACAGCGTAACTCCACTCACGTCCTTGGGGTCAGTCCAGCATTCCAGCATAATTGGAAGCAGAATGTGTCCCTACGTGTTGAAATAGGGACTTCATTCAGTAACACAAGTGGGAAAGGTGTAAAAAGACAAGGCTATGGAGGGTGATATCAGTTACACTGGTGTGAAATGGAAACACTGGGACACTTCATATGGACAAACAGGATGGGCTCAGTAAAACTGAGATGTGTGGTCACTTTATGCATGTAAATCCATTAGCTTTGCTGGAGTTACTCCAGGATTACACTGGGGATAAGTGAGCACAGTAGATACAGTATGGTTCAACTACCGTGGCAGTCAACTACTGTGTATCAGCACACTACAAGTACGCTGCATGGCATGCGATGTGAGCAATGCAACCATGTCGGGAATGTAGTGGGGTAAAGGAGGTTGATAGACACGTGGGGCTTGCTTCTGCTCCTCTTGACTTCAGTGATGGCAGGATTGTGCCCACAAATTCCACCTCCATTCCTATCTTTATTGCAGATCAGGTATTGCCAAGACTTATCTACCTACCTCCCCTTCCATCCCACCATCCTCTGGGTGCTGTAGAACACCCTGATGGTGTGTGCATGCCTACACCTGATCTGACACTTCTTTGTGCTCGGTAGCATCTTTGAACGGAGGCTCTCAGAACGCTCTGCAAAGGTGAAAAGGTGCATTCATCATTTTACAGACGATGAAACTAAGGCACAGAGCGAGTAAAGGCCAAATTCTGCAGTCTTAATCAAGCAGAGGTCCCGGTGCACCTTAGCAGGAGTGAGTGAAAGGTGCTTTTTGCTCGATTGCTCCACACCCCCTGCAATGGGCCAGCTGCTCTGAAGTCAGGGAAGGTTTTTCTCCGTAAGACGCAAAGAATTTGGTCTGGTGGGCCCTTCCACCAGTTACACAGCGAGCCACGGCTGAGCCTGGACTGGCACCCACATCGCTGGACACCCTGTCTGCTGTTCTACTTACCAGCCCATGCTGCCTTGCACCCTCAGCAGGTCTGCGGATGACACTAAGCTGGGGACGGTTGGGATAGGGTCCAGAGTAACCTAGACAAATTGGAGGATTGGGCCAAAAGAAATCTGATGAAGTTCAACAAGGACAAGTGCAGCGTCCTGCACTTAGGATGGAAGAATCCCATGCACCGCTACAGACTAGGGACCGACTGGCTAAGCATCAGTTCTGCAGAAAAGGACCTGGGGATTACAGTGGACGAGAAGCTGGATCTGAGTCAGCAGTGTGCCCTTGTTGTCAAGAAGGCTAATGGCATATTGGGCTGCATTAGTAGGAGCACTGCCAGCAGATCGAGGGAAGTGATTATTCCCCTCTATTTGGCACTGGTGAGGCCACATCTGGAGTACTGTGTCCAGTTTTTGGCCCCCCACGACAGAAGGGATGTGGACAAATTGGAGAGAGTCCAGCGGAGGGCAACAAAAATGATTAGGGGGCTGGAGCACACGACTTATGAGAAGAGGCAGAGGGAACTGGGCTTATTTAGTCTGCAGAAGAGAAGAGTGAGGGGGGATTTGATAGCAGCCTTCAACTACCTAAAGGGGGCTTCCAAAGAGGATGGAGCTCGGCTGTTCTCAGTCGTGGCAGATGACAGAACAAGGAGTAATGGTCTCAAGTTGCAGTGCGGGAGGTCTTGGTTGGATATTAGGAAACACTATAGTACTAGGAGGGTGGTGAAGCACTGGAATGGGTTATCTAGGGAGGTGATAGAATCATAGAATCATAGAATATCAGGGTTGGAAGGGACCCCTGAAGGTCATCTAGTCCAACCCCCTGCTCGAAGCAGGACCAATTCCCAGTTAAATCATCCCAGCCAGGGCTTTGTCAAGCCTGACCTTAAAAACCTCTAAGGAAGGAGATTCTACCACCTCCCTAGGTAACGCATTCCAGTGTTTCACCACCCTCTTAGTGAAAAAGTTTTTCCTAATATCCAATCTAAACCTCCCCCACTGCAACTTGAGACCATTACTCCTCGTTCTGTCATCTGCTACCATTGAGAACAGTCTAGAGCCATCCTCTTTGGAACCCCCTTTCAGGTAGTTGAAAGCAGCTATCAAATCCCCCCTCATTCTTCTCTTCTGCAGGCTAAACAATCCCAGCTCCCTCAGCCTCTCCTCATAACTCATGTGTTCCAGACCCCTAATCATTTTTGTTGCCCTTCGCTGGACTCTCTCCAATTTATCCACATCCTTCTTGTAGTGTGGGGCCCAAAACTGGACACAGTACTCCAGATGAGGCCTCACCAATGTCGAATAGAGGGGAACGATCACGTCCCTCGATCTGCTCGCTATGCCCCTACTTATACATCCCAAAATGCCATTGGCCTTCTTGGCAACAAGGGCACACTGCTGACTCATATCCAGCTTCTCGTCCACTGTCACCCCTAGGTCCTTTTCCGCAGAACTGCTGCCTAGCCATTCGGTCCCTAGTCTGTAGCTGTGCATTGGGTTCTTCCGTCCTAAGTGCAGGACCCTGCACTTATCCTTATTGAACCTCATCAGATTTCTTTTGGCCCAATCCTCCAATTTGTCTAGGTCCTTCTGTATCCTATCCCACCCCTCCAGCGTATCTACCACTCCTCCCAGTTTAGTATCATCCGCAAATTTGCTGAGAGTGCAATCCACACCATCCTCCAGATCATTTATGAAGATATTGAACAAAACCGGCCCCAGGACCGACCCTTAGAGGTTTTTAAGGACTGACTTGACAAAGCCCTGGTGGGGATGATTTAGCTGGGGTTGGTCCTGCTTTGAGCCGGGGATTGTACTAGGTGACCTCCTGAGGTCTCTTCCAACCCTAATCTTCTATGATTCTGTGAATCACCTGTCGTCATTGTATTGTGTTTAACTGCTATAGGAATTGAGACCTAACCCCACTCTCCACCTGAGAGGCCACATTCCTTCCTAGTGTGACTCCACAGGAGCCAGTGCACTTACTCCAGGGATGAATTTGGCCCTTAATCCCTGCAATGCTCTAAGACCCCATCAGCAGTAAGAGCAAGAATGCATAACCCAGTTATCCTAGACAGAAGCATATTCTCCTCCTGGCTAGGTCACCGGCCCAGCCAGAGGCCAGGCTTTGAATTTAATTTTGTGTTGAGGGTTTGGTGCCTGTCATCACTCTCAGTTTTGCATTGCTCAGGCATCTACAGGTTCATACCCCACTCACAGCCGTGATTCGTTTCCTTTTGCAGGTTGCACTGCCAGAGATTTTACACGTGGATCAAAAATTGGCACCATTGTTTCAGGTTTTGTGACATTCGGAGTCTGTTAACCAGATGCAAGTCTGTGCTCACTGGAGTGCGAACACATGTGTTTTGGCAGTTATAAAAATAATCTTGCAGGAACAGTCTAAGAATTCGAAGATTTCCTGTAGGGGAGAAAACAACATATTTTCTCCATTAGGGATTTTAACCAGCCCAGTTTATTTAATCCTTCTTAAAGCAGGGGATTTTGTAATTAGTTAGCTGCAACCAAAATCTTTGGGCAATTGTGTTCTAAGGAGCAGCATTTTAATTTTTCTTTATTAAAAGAGCTAATATCACTTAGCATGCATCTATTGCAGGGGTGCTAAGGAGCTCTAGCCGAGGCCCATGACTCCATTGTGCAGGTGCTGTACGGACACAGAAGCACAAGATGGTCCCTACCCCAAATACCACGTGTTTTAGATTCCAGTGGCGTGATCTCAGGGTGGATACTCACGGTTTGAGTCTTTTCTTACTCTTGCTTCCAGACTGCATATTAAACAGCAGCAGTGAACCGATTAACTCCCTATTTGTCAATTTGTTATGAGCGACTGGACTAAAAGTGGGAGGAAACACCTCTTTCTTTACGCAGGAGGGGGATGTGGTAACGTATGTTTGTGTGAGGCAGTGCAAATTCAAAACACCATTGAAGACACACAGCCCAATTCTTCACTTTGCTCCATCATTCTTAGACCAGGGTAATTCCACCGAAACCAGTAGCTGCGCCAGCTTAAAACCAGGGTCACACCATAGGCGTCGGGAATTGGGGTGCGGGGCGTGCTGCAGTGCCCCCAGGTTTTGCATGGGGTTCCGACCGCCAGCCCCGCACCTGGAGCTCCGCTCCTGGCCCCGCACCCGGGCTTTGCTCCCGCCCCCAGCTGTGGTCCCAGCCTCAGCCCCCTTACCCCTGTCCGCGTCCCCCCCCTCCCGGAGCCACAGCCTGGTCCTGGCCCCAGCTCTGGGGAGAGGCAGCACCCCACTGTAAAAAGTGTTCCAGCACCACTGGGTCACACAGTGGTGACTTGGGCAAAAACTTTAGTTTGACCTTGATGGCCACCTGCTGCCTCTCTAGTTAGATCACTATGGGCTCCTTAGCAACCAACGCAGCGTATGGGAGGGACAAGCTGTACAACGCCACGCGGCCTCGTGGCCCTGCCCCATTCCGTATTAGCCTGGCACTCAAGGAGGCCAGTGCTTCTGCCGAGCCCTGTGCCTCTAGCAAACTGCCGTGACGCTGTGGGGAGGGCCAAGCTGCTCTCTGCTCTGTTAGGAGAAGCCCTGGGGTGAAGCCTGCCACCTCCAAGGGAAGGATTAGGAGGAATCTCTGCCAGGGAATTGTGCCAATCTTTCCTTTCCCCCTGGTCCCCTGTTATGGTAAATCATACGTCATAGCAGGGCGTGCCTGCCTTGGAGCAGTCCCTGCTGGCCACCCATGGCTCTCCCCGCCTCAGTTCTCCTCAGCCAGATTTCAGGCTCTCCCAGGGTTCATGTGGCTCTCAGATTTCAGTCCCCTGCCAGAGTCACAAATATCCAAACAACTGAAGAGTTCTTTCCCCACTGGGGCTCCTCCTAGCGCTCCCTGAGGGCTCCATTTAAATGTCTCTTACTCGGGGGGCAGAACACTGAATCTCAGGCACGTTCCCTGGAGTCCTTCCAGGCCCCCCACAGCCCATCCCCTGCAATTCCTCTACCCATCTGTCTTTTCTCAGCCCTTTCCTGAGGTCCTGATGTCTCAGGCTGTCACCTCACCCTAATTAGTCCAACCCTCTTAGGCTGGGAGGTAGCTGATCTGGCATGGGCTGGGCTGATTGAACAGGACTGCCTGGCTTGCCTCAGGCCTCCTGGTCCTTGGAAGTGTAGGCCACTCCGTTACAGGGCAATTCCCCCTTATCACCATTTCCATATACAGGCTAGCACTCATTGGAGTCACTGGGAGCCTCTCTAGTGGCTTCAATGCGATTTGGATGGGCAATTTGCAGGGGGAAAACCTCCATATCCATTTGTTTTAACTAAAAAATTCTAATTTCCTATGGGAAACTTTAAAACTGAATGAAAACGTATTTGACCTCAAAATGGTTTGGTTTATTAAACCCTCAAATTCTGTTTTAAAAAAACTGTTTGGGTTTTTCCCCAGCAGTTTTTCCCCTTCCCCCCCATTTCCAAGGGGAAAAAGGGGGGAAGTGGGGAGAAAACCCCCTTTTTACTCTTATTGTTTTTTAATTATAACAATAAAATGGCATGAAGAAACAGGGTTTCTTTCCAACTTTTGGCAGTTGGAAAACAGTATTGGAAAGAGTGTGTGGCAGGGAGCTCCTTAATTTTGAAATGAACAATTGGGTTTTGTTCCCCAAAATATTTCATTATGAAACACTTACGTCTAACAACATTTTTTCTGCAGAAAAATACATTTTGACAAAACCCTATTTTCCTATGAGAAAATGGTTTCACTGGAAAATCTTTGACTGGCTCTCCCAGCAGTGGACAGGGTCTTTCCCAGCAGTCCCTTCCTCAGCTTGACATGGGTTAGAAATGGCTGGCATCTCTCTCCTTCATAGGACAAACCATCAGGCAAGCTGGCACCTGCTTGGGAGTGGGGTGACCCTGGCTGGGCAGCACTGCAGCCAGGTCAGGACTGCAGGGCATTAGCAGAGCCTGTGTGTTTGAGATGGCACCGTGCCTGCCTTTGTTAGGCCTGTCTTGCCAGCACGGTGAGGCTCTGGCTTTCAGGAATGACACAAAATTGCTTCATTTTCCCAAACATTACCGAATAATGATGCTCAATCCCAGAGCTCCTCTGGGGCAGGATGAGAAGCAGCACGTTGTGTGTGATGGCAGTGATCAGCGGGGCCAGTGACTGTTGAAGTTTACTCACATATCACGGATATTGCTTGTTCCAAAGTCAATATCACTTACAATCTGGAGCTGCTGCACAGATAGCTGTCTCGTGCCAGCTAGGGCTGGACAATTCGACAGGTTCCCACTTAGGGTGACCAGATGGCCTGATTTTTTCTTATATAGGTGCCAATTACCCCCTGCCCTCCTGTCCCAATTTTTCACACTTGCTATCTGGTCATCCTATTCCCACGTGTGTGGGGTACCCAAACTAGACCCTGCAGTTCAAAGGGGGTGACAACAGGCCAAATTTGCACATTTACTTAGAGGTTCAAGTTTTCACATGCTCTTTCCCCAGGACTCCTTCCCACTGACCTTAGCTCTCCTCTGGTGTGTGTGGAGGGAAGGGAGTGACCTGATTTCAGCCTGACTCTCTTCTGAGGCACCTCAACCGCTTTCTCCAGAGCCACTGACTGCTGCTATGCAGTCATGGCCTTGGGATGGGTCAGGCAATGGTTTGAACTCCCCAGTTGCCAGCAAGAGACACAGAAATACGCCCCCTCCCACAGCCACTGATGCGCTAATAGCAAGCGAAGTAGCAGCCTCTGAAGTTTAATGTGCAGTTGTTAGTGACACCACTGAACACTCCTGGGTCTGGGGTGACATTCATGGGTTTTGCTAGAACTACAAACAGTGCTCCTAACTCACTTAGGCAGCCTTGGAAATACCCCCCTTCACCGCTACCCTGTTCACTGCTGAATTGCGTGGTGAGGTCTCTCTTTCTCCTGGCCATTCGAACTCCATGTAGATTGTACCCATAGACGTGAACACGTCCGTTGTCAGAAGCATCTCACCATGCGTCAGCTACGGATGCAGTTGTTCATACTCATTAAATAGCTCCTTTAGCTCACTGTGCCTAGTTCCAACAGAGCTGGTCAAACAATGGTGACTTTTTTCAAGTTTTAAAAAATAGAATTTTAAAAACTGTTTAAAACTTCAAATTTTCAAAACACTTTGACCAGCTCAGAAAAAAAAAATGGATTTCCCACTCCTCACCCGATTTTGTAACTCAAGAATTCCAACCAGCTTGGATTTCCATATTCCACTCACTTTTTGCATAGACAATGCTTTCTGTTGCCACATAGGGCTGCAATTTCTAGCCTCAGGGCGGGTTGTTTGACTCCTTTTTGCCCCATGACGACCTGGCCCAGAGACAGGTGGACACAGTCCAGTCACCATTCATGGCCTTCTGGGTTTTGACACCACTGAAGGTTGAGTAACTGTACATAGTTCTGAACTAACTCTTTGAAAGTTAAATAATAAAAGAGTCACCTATTAGGCACTCAGCCTATTCATCCATTCAGCATCTAACTCCCACTTGGATCAAACGTTCTTTAATTAAGACTCGCTATTTTTTCTGCCCTCATTTAACTTGGCTTCTCAAAGCTCAATATTTTGTTTTAGAAAATCCAACAATATCTAATTTTTTCAGAGAGATTTGTCATGTAAAGTCAGGTTACTGTTGGTTCGAGGCATGAAATGTATATTTGGTTAGAATATTAAAATTATAGTTGCAATCATTTGGAACACTGTCTGATTTTTACATTGTAAAGTGACATTGTTGCGGAAGAGAGCTTTATAAATGCCTTAGCCTTTCACTGACTTAAATGTAAGGAATTTTATTGAAATCTTACATTTTTGTACTGTTTTCCCGAGCACATCTAATAAAAACAACAGTAGTCACACATTTTAGGATGCCTGTGAATTCCAGCAGGCATTCTGGTTAAAGGCTACTGCTAAGGACTATGGTAAAATTTCCCTGGATTTCAATGGCAAAATGGCACTTAGAACAGTAGTTTTACAATGCAGGCGAATCGTTGCTAAGGCAAAATGAGTTCCCAATAGCCACATTGCTACGAACTTTGTGATTCCATCTGTACCAAACTCAAACAGCAGCTTTGCAGTGAGATGTCCAAGCCCATGCATACAGTCTCGGAAACAACTCTGCATAATGAATTCATGGATGCCGAACAAATTCTCACCTCACCTGGGGTGAAATCCTGGTCACACTGAAGTCAATGGCGAAGCTTCCATTGACTTCAGTGGGGCCAGGATTTCAGCCTCAGAGACTGCTTCCAAGCTAGTTGGGGGAGTCAGACAAACCTCAAGCATTGAAGAAATGCACCATGGACCTGTTGGAAATCTAGCACCTTCTCCTTCCTTGGAAGTTAATGATTCATTCAGTGCTACAGTCCACATTCAACCCAAGTGGACTAACTTCAGAGACATTGACATACTGGGGGCAGGGAGTTCCTTTCAGTTACTCCAGTTTTATGTTACTATTACTCCACAGATTGCAACGTTTGAGAATGGTGTGCGAGGCGTGGGCTTTGCTCTGCCTTTCTTTTCCCAGGGGAGGTTTTGGAATTCAAAGGAATACTCACAGCCCTGACTGGCGCAGGATCTTCATCCCATCCGGTGGAATCCGCCTGGTCACATAGATTCTAGGTAACAGCTTCCCACCTGCATTTGGGGCCTGTAATGTACACCAGCTGTGGAAATCTGACACCAGCCTTGTCTTCAGACGTCTCAAATGACAGAGTGTCCCCATTGCAGAGCAAAGGCACCAACAGCGTCGGAAAGCAGGATTTTGGATGGGATGTTTTCGTGACAGCCAGTTCAGCAAGGTTGTGTGACCAGGGAGTGGGAGGTTGTGTGATAAGATCCCTTGGACCAATGAGTGGTGGGGCCGGCTTCTCTTTACTGAGCTGACCTGTCACCGCTTATGTTTGCACACTCTTCTTTAATCTCGCAGTCTAAATAAGACAAGAACTGTGAGGAGGGAAAACCTAGTTAATAAGAAAACACGCTCACACCAACCTTTGTGACTTGGGGAAAAAACTGAACTTCTGCAGAACAACTGTTGGTTTATGTTTCCTGTTGCATTAAAAAGAGCTTTGGGGGTTCTCCTCAGTTCTATTTGAAATTGAGATCCCATAGCTGTTTAAAAACAATTAGCTTTTGAATTGTGAAGTAACAAAGACTGAGACTGGGGGTCCCAAATATTTACATGGGACTATGTCAAAAAATATACTGGGTGAGGCATTTTCTCAGCAGTTCCCAAATTGTGGGTTGCAATCCCAAATGGGCTCACACCATCAGCAGATCCAGTGGGTCAGATTCGGCCCATGCGACGATGCTGTTTGCCCCTAAACGTGTCCAGACCTGCTCCACGGATGCCGTGCCAAGAGCATATGGTGCATGCAAAGTCACATTGTGACATTTTGTAAAATGGCAGCCTCCTGGTGCAGTGTTTGTGGAGCAGGTCCAGACACACCGGCCGTGCAGAGGTGGTTGTGAGGACACCAATTTGCCATGCCATTCACTGAGAGACCTGAATGCAAAAGATCCTCCTCGGTGGGCAGCAGCCTTATCAATAGAGCATCCTCTCTGCTTGAGCTGGTAGCAGCCTGTGTTGGCCTTTTCTGAGATGGGAATCTGCTGTGGCTTGTGAGCTCCTTAAGGCAGGGCCCATGTCTACTTTTATGCCCCACTGAGTACCTTGTTGGCACTGAAGGACAAAGAATCATTGCAAGGCACTGTCCGTGCTGTCCTGGTGCCTTCCTCCATCCTGGCCTCATGTCTTACCAGTGAATTCCTCCTTCTGACGTGTGACCAGAGGAGCAAGGGAGTCGTTTTTACACAGAGACTCTGCTTCAGCCTCCAGCAGCGAGTCTCACCATGCAGTTATGAACGAAAAACAGGAGCATAAGAAATGTGCTCACAGATATGACGAGGCTTCCTTTGCGCATGGCTTCACCAGTGGGATTTTGTCAAGAATGAGGAAAGGCTGGAGTGTCTGCTGTATCGCAATTAGTTAGCGGAAGCATGAAGCCTCAGACTCTTAAATCACGCTAGGAAGCCCTTCACAAAGAACACCAAGGTCATTTTTCCAGCTCTGGAAAGAACTTCCACGTCAACAAGTGCACTTCAAGAGATCCATGTCCATCTCTGACCACTCTTAAAAGGTGACACCTCATCGCACAGGCCAAAAAGCTTCACACCATTGGAGAGATGTTGATTTTTCCAGCTGCAATCGATATGGTGAAGACAATGTGTGGGGAAACTGAGGCAAGCCAACTCAAAGCCACACCACTCTCCAACACCACAGTGAAGCTAAGGATTGAGGCAATGGCAGCAGACCAGGACAATGTACTGGTGGAGCACCAGAAACACACGGATGCTTTTGCTCTTCAAGTTGACGTGAGCACGGAGGGCCGAGATGCACATTTCTTGGCTTTTATGAAATACACATGAGAGGGTGCAGTTCTTGAAGAAGATATTCTGTTCTCCTGCCTCTTCCCAAACATGAGATGGCACAAGGAATGTTCCACGTGCCACGTGCAAGACAAAAATATCCTGTGTGATCGCAGAGTGAGCTTTTGTGTAGATGGAGTGCTGTCTATGGCAGGCCACAAACCAGGTCTGTTACTCCATCTGCTGTGTGGACTCACTGCATGTTTCACAGAGAACACCCGGCAGCTAAAGCTCTGAGTCCAGGTCTCGTCTATTGTGTACCACATGAAGACTCATCCTCTTTGCGTACAGCTGTTTGCAACAGTGTGTGAAAACCCAGGGTCTGTTCACGACCTGGTTTTGTTCCACACTGAAGCTCATTGGCCCTTGAAAGGGAAAATACTGGGATGATTTTCTGAACTGCGAGACGAGCTGGGTGGCGAGGCAAAGGATTGCACAAAGAGCAGATTCATTGATTTCCTGGGTGACCAAAGGAAGATGTGCCGTCTTGCCTATGTCACAGGCATATTTGGGAAAGTGAATGAATGGAGTGCAGATCTCCAAGGAAAGAACACCCATATCTGTCAGCTGAGTGATCGAACCACAGGATTCATGAAGAAAATTGATTTCTGGAAGAATAATCGATTGAAGACAACAAATGAATCCTTCCTGCAGCTCTGCAAGTTCCTGGCTGACAGTGAAATTATTCAGCCTCCCACGCAGGTGATGGCTGAGCATCTCCACCACACAAAGGAAGAGTTTGTATCCTTTTACTCTGACTAGGACATGACAGAGTCTGATTGGGTGCGAAACTCCTTTCAGTGCGAGCCTGACGCCAAGGATTTGCCAGTAGCTGAAATTGAATAGCTCATCGAAATGTCCTGCAATCGATTCTTGTGAGAAACCTCTGTCCAGCCTTTCCTGTTAGAGTTTTGGTTCACTGTCGAGAATGAATGGCCTGCACTCTCAACCGGCGCCTTGAAACTGACGGGGCCATTTGTGAGCGTGTATTTGTGCAAAGCTGGATTTGGTGCACTTGGGTCCATCAGTATCAATCTACCGCTGCTCGCATATCAGACATTAGATTTTTACCCTGCCGCCGGACTTCAAGAGGCTGTGTCGCAACACGCGAGTCCATGTGCCACGTCAAGGAGCATTAAATACTGTATTGAATGTGTAAATTCTTTAGATTTCTTGAGCAGTATGTTGCTTTGTTGCTGTCTGGGGTCACAGGAAACAGTTAGTTTCAAAATGGGGTCACGCAGGCAAAAAGTTTGGGAACTCCTGTAATATCTTTAATTGGACCAACTTCTACTGGTGCAAGAGACAAGTGTTTGAGCTACACGTGAATGCTTGTCCCTTCCACCAAAAGAATTTGGTCCATTAAAAGACATTACCTCACCCACCTTGTCACACTCATAGCCTGGGACCAACATGGCTACAACAACCCTGCAGACAAAAAATACCCTAGCAGGGCCTGATTCACTACTGTGTTGCTCTAATTGTAGGTAAGATCGAAGTAAAACTGGAAACATGCAGTGGTGGAATCGGACCCCTCCCCGCCAGCTCTGGCATTTGGCTTCAGTCCCTCCAGTCCTGACCCTCGGCTTGTTTCCTGGACTCTGCCCTCCCTGGACTCAGCTCTAACCACTAGACCAAACTCTCGCTTCCGTGACCAGGCCCCCACGGCCAGCAGGCTACAGTGACACACCAACTAGTGGTGATGGGACAGCTGCATTGGCTATTCCTCCTTTCTTTTCAAATGTCTCTGTAATTCTCTCTTCCTACACGTGGTGCATGCATATGACTATAGCCTGTTTGGCTTCAGTGGTTCCATCCTGGGAACTCTATTTATTTTTGTCTTTGATTTAAATCTTTCCTTATTGGTTTTTCTTATGTGCCCTGTTACTTACAGCTTAGAAAGGGGGCTAGTACCTTTCCTCTCTCCTACAAATGATTCATTTGATCTTGCAACGTCAGATTAACAAGGTCCTTTCTCTCATCTGGATTCAACATTTTAGAAATGACCAAATGTTTCTCTCTCTCCTCCCCTTTTGATGATTTTCTGATTGTAGTTTGGTTGCTTGGCCTTTCGCTTCTTCTTTAATGTGGGTCACGTGATCATATTGTAGGGCCAACAGTTTATAACGTAGGCAGCTTCTAAACCAGACCTTAGCGCTCCAAGTCCTTGCTCAGCAGCTGCCTGGCTAGCCCAGTTCTGTGTTTCACAAGGAAGTTACAACCTGGTGGACTTACTTCATTAGTGTGTGTGATTCAACTGGTCTGTGATCTCTGCCAGGACAATTGTCCGACTGGATTTGTGTTCTTAGTGTGATTTAGCCTACTGCGAGTTTGTATCTTGGTTTTAGTTAATTGAATCTGCTTTGACCTCACCCTACTGTAAATCGGGAACAACTCCACTGAAGTCAACATAACTACACTGATGTAGCTGAGATGATCATTGGACCCCACTGTACGTGGCTGATCACATGTGGGCATCTTCCCTTGCGCACGTTCCCTCACCCACCCTGCTTCACACTGATGCAGGAATTGGAATGACATTATTGAAAGTAGGTTTCTATCTGCCCAGAGCAGGAATGAACCTGACTTGTGCAGCAGCAGGGTGTGGAGAAGTGCAGACAATCACCGCCGAGGGCAGGGAACATGCTCCGGGCTCAGCAGAGCTGGAGCTGGCCTCAGTGCTCATCTGCCCTTCTGCATGGATGCACGGTGCCCCGAAAGGGTGCAGCCTGCCTCACGGCATTGCAGCAAGATGAGCAGGTTTCTCGACTTCTGCTCCCTTGACAATTTTCCATCCAAACTGCTTTTCAGCAGAAAACTGGCGTTTTGACCACATTACATGTTCCGTGGGAAGTGTCTGCTCGCTGCGGAAAAATGAGTTTTCATCAAAAAACGGAGAGACCCTAAAACTTTTGAGATGAAAATGGACCTTTAGGGTTTCATGGGAAAAATCAAAACTTTCTATGGTGTTAAAACCCATTTTCTGACCTCTCTAGCGCAAAGCAACGGCAGTAGGCCATGCGATTAAACGTAAAGAGCCCCTGCAGCAGAGACTCATTGAGCTGCCCACTGATGTTCAGGTTTATTTTCTGAGATCTTTCTTGTGTAACCCACCTGTGAAATCTGTGGCCATCTTTCTTGCATGTGGCTGAGGGCCAGATGCTCTGCTGCTGTAAATCAGCATCACTTCAATGGAGTAACACCAATTTACACCAGGAGAGGATCTGGCTCTAATTGTTTACCAGGGCCAGGCAAAGAATGTGAATCCCAAACAATCTTAATAGGTTTCAGAGTAACAGCCGTGTTAGTCTGTATTCGCAAAAAGAAAAGGAGTACTTGTGGCACCTTAGAGACTAACCAATTTATTTGAGCATGAGCTTTCGTGAGCTACAGCTCACTTCATCGGATGCATACCGTGGAAACTGCAGCAGACTTTATATATACACAGAGAATATGAAACAATACCTACTCCCACCCC